TATGAGTATGATATCTAAGTGGTCTAGAGGTAGTGGTGATAGAGTGAATACTTGCAAGAGACAGAAGGAACCCTGTACATGACGAAGCCTAGCGCCGATGCAATAAGAACGAATACCGCATTGTCGATGACATAGTCGCGGTCAGTCCTGCTCCAGACGCCCGTATAAGACTTGGACAAGAGAGCAGCGGCAAAGACAAGTGCACCGCGAGAAAGTATGGTCGATAACGGCTATCAATGGTTCAGCATTTAATTTCCACGATAACAGACATTGACATACCCCTTTTGCAAGGGAACGTGTGTTCGTACCCAGCGCGAACTTACCCATGGCCGCCCGAGAAGAAATAACAGACTTCTGGTCCATAGGCAGCCACGATACGTCCATAGGCCTGCCAAATATACCCGAAAACCCTTTGGTACGTCTATCGCATACGCACAACACGCAAGCAAGAGTGTTGACCGACAAAAGCATGCTTTCAACTCCCAAGAACCTTGAGGCAATCTCCATTGGGACTACCATGAGTGTCAACCTCGGGCACAAAATGGCCCAAAGTAGAAATCGAAGTATTACTTCTTCCAAAGTGTACCATGAGAGGATGGCCATGATCAGAAGCAAGGCCAGGCTACTATCCAAAAGTCCATGAAAGGCAAAGTATTTGGGGTCCTCGGTTGCATTTGCGAGAACGTTCAAGATGACTTCCATTTCTGTTAGCATATACTTATTTACCGGCAGTAATCTGCGAGAAAGAGGAAAGCTTGTTGTGGGAAGGCAAAACGAATGAAGAAGAACAATGCACAGAAAAGAAATGAAAAGAAATGAAGTGTTATCTGGTACTTACATTTCGAGGTCAGGATGTACGGAAGCGTTTCTAACGGCCGAGCCGTGTAGGACACTATCATCCACGCTGGTATTTGACCGATGATCATGGCCATCCTGTAGGATGATGTAGTGGGCTGAGGGTTGCTCTTCCATTGGGGGTATTCGATGAGATCGAAAAGACTGAACCCGGTCTGACATGTGTTAGAGACTTCCATGGAGATAATACACTGAGAACAAAATCGAGGAAAGTCTTACCAAGCAAATGCCTAGGAACATAACCTCCATCGCCCACCAGGAAATCCTGTTGAATCGAACGTTTGACTGGAGAACGTCTGTTCTTCTTGGCTGTGAGGCGAGCGATAGCCTGACACCGGATAACTTAGACTCTTTCTTTAACTCCCTTCGATCACACCTCAGAACCTCTTCTCGATGAAATGTCTGTGTTATGTGGTCGTACGAACAGAGAAGCGTCCTGTGTTTCTCCCCCTCCTCCCCGACGACAAACATAGCTACTGGAGGAACGCTGCTACGGAAACGCGTGACTGTCATTAGATGCGTATCCAAAAGAGTAAAAGAATGCAGTTCTTCGTCTGAGATGGATTGCATTTGACCCATACCAATGTCCTGGTAGGACAAGGGAGTACTGTCAGTAAGGTTACCGTGGTTGAGACCCCAGAGATGTTTCTCAAGAGTACTAAGGTCAACAAAGCCCTCGATGCCAATGAGGCGGGGTGTCGCTGGCACCCTGATACGGGTACGTGTTCTGAGCAGCATGACCGGCGCAACCAAAGCAAAGATTGCAGTAATAGGTAAGAATCCCGCGAAGTTTGACAAGATGGACCTCGAAAAGAACCCACTGAATGGGGCTGAACAGCACCACATGAGTGCTATGTTGAAGAAATATGCAGATCCACTGCCATCATTTTCTTCGAAGTATGGCTCAGGGTGCAAGCCATCCCAGTGGATTGGGAATCCATTTGCGTTGTCCAGGATAATGGTGTTTCCAGTCCCGACTTTTCGAATAGTGCTGAGTGGACGAATTTCACTGAGCTTGGTACTCCAACGATCTCCAATTCGAAACCACTGTTCTCCTGGCTGAGGCGCAAGGCAAATCAAGCAACCCAAGAAGTCGCTGTTGCTGTTGCAAAGACAGAGCTTGGCGAAAGCCTGGAATCCAGTGTCATGTTTGTCAACTAGAGGTCGTTGACGAATGGGAAACAGACCCATTGTAGCATAGGCTACATCTCCCTGACTGAAATGGTCTGTTTGGCGACGCGAGAAGCATTCGAGAGCCACTTCGATGAAGTGATGAGGGGTGAGAGTAGCGGTTCCTTCAAAATGGTGCACGAGCTCGTTCACCACCGCGGCATCATCCCATGCTCTTTCTGCAAAATTACGCTTAGCTATCATCAGATTTGACTCAGACCTATCTCCAAGGGCGTAAAGTTGAATTCTGTGCTCAGAGGGGCACAGCAGAACCTCGGGTAGTGTCCACAACCGCGAACCCCATTGCCGCAACCAAGGTGTTATCCTGTCCTGGCTGTATGCTGGCGGCGATCTTCCCTCAAGAATTGCGGCCACCTTATCCGAGGCTGCAGGTCCTATGGCGATGATCATAGAATGAGCGGCTCGGACAATGTCGCAGATGTGATAAACATCCCCGCTACTACTAGTCGACCTAGCAGACCCGTCATCATTCCGGATGCACTCGAAATCGATCCAGAATGCGCTTATGTTTGCTCTTTGAGCTGCCTCCATCCCCCATTTTATCAGTGTCACTCGGTCTGCTTGAGCTACCTCCCTGTTCGCGTCCCGGGTAGCCTCGCTCTCGTAAGGATAGTTATCAATCTCTTCCTCTGTTGCGACCCTGAATTGCATCCGTGTGTATGATACGAAGATGAAATCCAAGTCGATATGGTCTCCGTAGTGGTCAAGGTAGTCGGAAACTTTGATTGTGGCGTAATGCATTCTCTTGAAATCCTTCACGATGCAGAGATATCTCGGTCGAACTGAGACTAGGTCGTCGTTGTCCCTGCTTCGACCACCTCCAATGTTGCTACTGAGCGTGTTGATGTGGGGAGCAACCTCCGTCCAGGCAGATTGGGAGTCGGGTAACGCATCCATCGGCCCGATGCCATTCCCATGAGTGCCACTCGTCGTCATAATTACGGATATGTTATCGTCAGAAGGAGAATCAAGGCTTGATGATTGACTTGGAGGCGAAGCATCTGATTTCAGATAGTTGGGATGATGTTTGTTCTCCTTATCAATGCTGAAAGAGCTTCCGTAAAGTGATTGCACGCTGTCAAGTTTGGTATTAGCAGAGTGGCGAAACAGCCCCAAGTTTTCCGACCAAAGCACCTGGCAAGATGTACATTAGCGCAAGTGTTCTGTTGAAAACATGTGGAAATACGCACCAAGAGGAACAACAAAGGCCAAGCAATGATCAATTTGAGGACTGCCAAAGAAAGAGACCTGAAATCTGCACGATATTCGTGGGTCCCTGGGACGAGCAGAGATGACCCAATCCAGTACGAAACTCGAAGTAAGGGCGGCACTCTTGCAGGTGGTCTTCCTGTGCAGACCCATCTCCCTGTTTGCGGCAGGCCGTCATTGTCATGAAGGCTCTGCGTTACAAACGGAACTTGACGCCGGGGCGGATCTGGTTGATGAAAATATCGGAGGAGCGCCTGATACCAAAACTCCAAAGTCGGAACAAACACCCACTTCTGATAGGGATTCATTTCCGGCATCGGATTTGGCAAATCTCAAGAAAGCTACCAGAGGATTCAATGTTTCGAAATTCGCAGGTGGTCTCGCTGTTTAAGTGATTTGGACGTGGCGCAGCGCCGGCACTCTGACTGGTGCGCCCTTCTACCAGCCTGTCATGATTCAGGCAACCACTTTGAACATTCCAATTTTGCCAACTGATGAATGAAATGCCGGTAACTTGCTTTCTGTGGCAAGTATGTCTCACCTGATCAGCCAAGAGACAGTGGAACGCAGACGCCTACAAGGCACCCAGCAAGACAATCACGAGGGAAGGTGAATCAGACAGACACAGGCAGGGGATTTGGCTCAGAGGCAGTGTGGGAGTACAACATTGCAAATTCGAAAAGCAAATATCATGGTGCATAAGTCACCAATGCAGATGAACATTCGACATTTCTCCCATGCCCTAGTGAACACTTGGGTAAGTCTAGCACAAGGCCAACCTAAGAGGCTTCGGCAGCTGCTTGCTCATGCCCCTCTGTTCTACGACAGTGTGCATTGCGTAACAACCGACTGCACCTCCCTTGGCACCAAATTCAACCTGGAATTGTCAGGCCTATGAAGTCCATTTGAGGGAGAAACGGGCGCAGCAAATTGTTTTGCCCTACCCTCGCGAGGCGTGGATGGCTTGGTGAGACGTCGTGTTAGTGAAGCCTGCTGGGCGATGCCTGTGTTTGGACAGTGTGTGACTGATTGTACATGTCTGTGTTTTTTGTGTAAGACGTGATTGGATCCTGGATGGGCACGTCTAAGACATGCTTACGGACATAAAATATCCCAACCCCTAGATGGCGCAAGATCTGATTGACCATGCTGCTTACATCTCAGGTACCTAAGCAGGCTGTCAGAGGTTTTTCTGCAAAGCTTGGTTGGGCCAATACGTCAAGAAATATGTATAATTAAGTCAGATGCAATAGGTATGGTGAAGGACGATCTTATATTGGAAGGACCTCGTGGTATTCTGAAAAGACCTCTCGTTGAGGCTGTGCCCGCCCCTGCCGCTTTGTGTCACCTGGGCACCATCATGCAATACACGTGTAGTTCAAGATTGGAGTGTTTTTGTTAACCAATCAAGGAGACGTTTCTGAATACACCAATAAACACGTTCCCTTCGCGAGATACGGCGACTCGGCAAGAGCTTAGAAAACAAGGGTTGCTGCGTTTTATCGAGGAGTAGAATTGAACTAGGTTGTCTCATTAGCCCGATATGTCCCGGATTATGCCTCGAATAGGAATACTTGACCTGCTCTACTTATTGCTGTGCCGCAAGACGGCATATCGCTTGATATGACGCTTTTCATCGCACAACTTCAATTCTCGTCGCTCGAACATAGCGCAGCACTACTTCTTCACCAGCTAAAACACACGTTAATACCCTGAATCTTCGGTCTAATGCGCATTACGCCACCATGTCCAACACCCTTCCGCCCGCTTCATTACCCGCGTTCTCGACTCGCTCCCATTCGACCCCTGAGGCCAGGCACATACTATGGAGACTACAAGGGCCATTGTCCGACTCCGTCTTCGTCCTGCAAGATCGGGAACGCAAGCCCTACGTTATCGCCTCAGGCCCTGCAGGCAATCCCGGCCTTCACCCGACTGCCCAAGCTTCACTTACGAACCCAAAATCGGATCAATTACCGTCCACGTTGACGTTCTGCGGCGGTGGCAGGAGGAGTGGCTTGAACGACACGAACAGGCCCAAGAAGGCACAGCCCCTTGTCAGCAACGCGTCCGATACCTACGTTACGGTTCACGACTATCTTTCAGCTTTACACCTGTGGCTGATGGGCTTACGTGACGATATCGTGAGGGCGGATGACGTCTGGGAGGATAAGACGCCGGATAACTATAGGAATCCGGTGGGAAATTTCACTCTGCCTAACTCTTTGAAAATCGTGGATGAGAAACAGTTTCTCCGTTGGTTCGGTGTGATTCAGGCGCCTGAACCTGTGGGCAAGGAGCTCGAGAAATTTTTGAAGAGGGTTTGCAGGCCTGGCGAACCGAGGAACCCAACTACCAATACATGTACATCCCAGGACAGAACCAATGATTTGAAGCCCCTCGTGGTATCCTGCGAAGATGACACCGAAAAGACCTGCCTTCTTACAAGAGCCTACGGAGACACGCCCCTCTCAATCACTAGCATCAGACCGGCCCAACGAATCCAGGACCCTATGACTTTATTTGACAGGGAACCAGCAAGTCACCCTCGGATCATAGCTCTTCTGGTTGGGCCCCAGTTCTTCACACCGCAAGCTCGTCGACGAGCCCCCGCCGGCATCATAACCCGTGTGCGTGACGCAGTCAAAGCTGGAGATGCCATCGCACGAGAACTTGCCGGGTCCTTCATCCTTGCTGGCGTACTTACAGTTCTTCCGGCCGTGGATGTCTCTAATGGAGCTTATGCTTTCCGGCCACGGCTTTGACTTGAGGTCGTCGACGGGATCTGCTTCTCCTATGTGCGGCGCCGTGCATGTGTCTAATGCCGTACTGCCCCGGGCCATCATCACCCATCTGCCGGTCCGGCCTTGTCGACCTTGTCCTGACGGAATAGCGAGCTCGTAGTAGATGTCGACGCCCTGCGAGGGCTCGGCCTCTTTCGGCTTGGTCGATGTAGTTGCCGGGGCCCGGGAAGTTGATGTCTTGGGCTGTGATGTCGAAGGCGAGGTTGTTGTGGAAGTGTGTGTGGTTTTTGTGGCTGACGTCGATCTCGGAGTCGTGGTTGACGGTTTGGAAGATGACTGGCTCGCGTCTTTGGAATGCGAGACTGTCTTTGAGTTGATGAAGATCGTTGTGTTAGTCGATAAAGCTGTTTTGGAGTTGGCGAAAGTCGTGGTGTTATTCAACGAAGTTGTCTTTGAGTTGATGACTTTCGTAGTGCTAGTCAAAGCTCCTGGTGTCGTAGCTGATCCCGTAGACCCGGGCCGGCGAGTGATATTTGCATTCAAACTACCGGTTGTCGTGACTCGAGGCGGTGAACCCGTTCCCGTCATCCCCGGCCGCATTGAGTTGGAACCAGCACTTCGAGTCGCAGCGAGAGATCCAGTCGGCTTCTGCGTCCGCGAAGAAGCCCCTTTGGTAGCTGTCGACGCCCCAGACGTGGGTTTTCGGATAGAACACACCTGCCTCGGCGCATTCTTACTCTGGAAGATCTGATTCGACTCGGGAACCCAACTGTCGTACTTGTTGCCGATCTCGCGGTTCTCCCACCACAGCCTCCAGCTGGCCATGTAGTTACAAGTCTTGGCCGGGTGGTACTGGATGAGCAGCTTCCCGCGGACAGATGTCCTCGCGACATTTTCCTGGAACCCACGACACTCCTTCCGTCTCGCACTCGCTTCTTCCGGCGTCTCCTGCCTTCCTGCTCGGACCCTCTCCATCCGGAGCGTCTCGTACTTCTCAACTATGCGGTTCGGCAGCGATTGGGGCGAGTAGTCGAGGGTCTCCACGGGGATGTCGCCCCAGCTATCTCGTACGATCTGTTTGAGTTTGCCCACCTGGCTCGGGTACCGTATCTGGCCCACGTTGTGGTTCAGGTCGTTCAAGAATTCGGACTCGGGGACGAGCTGGCCGTTGCGGAACCGCTCGGCTCGCACGCGGGGAGCTATGATGTAGGCGCGAGTGCCAATGTCCTGGGTCGACTTTGCGTCGTGTTTCGTATTGTCGTCCTTCTCCTTGACATCACCGAACATCACACCCTCAGGAGCACGGTCTGGATTCTCCACCATCGTGTTCATCCCGAACTTCATCCACTCCTCGCCAGGCTCTCCGGGGGCGATTCCTCTAGGCAGCATATCATTCACCAGGAACGTGAACTCTTTTGGGGTGTAGATTTGGTTCTCCCAGATGTGGCTCACCCACGCCCCGCGCTGGGATACCACAACCACCGCCGTGCAGCCGTATAGACCCCCAAGAGTGATGGCCGCGACCTGCGAGTCGAAGCGGACGTGGTTAGATGTCGTCATGCCTGCCATCTCCACTCCCACATGCTCCGGTTGGCCGTGCCGGACCCAGACCGGATCGTACCCGCCAAAGAACTCGAGGTCTTGGTTGTTCGGGCTCGGGTCCCAGGTTGTGATGATCTGGAACTCGTTAATGAGGAACCGGTCCCGGCGGCCCTCGGGGTAGTCTTCCGGGTCCGGCCAGTCGCCCTCCACTGGCATGCCGCGCTTGGTCATCCAGGTCGGTTTCTCCACGTCTTTCCACAAGATGACTGGACAGGCATCGCCGCAGTCAGAGACTTCGCACCGCTCTTCTTGGTAGGCGGGACATGCCTTGACCTTGTTCTGCCTGGATCGGAGTGTGTCGGGAGTATGGTCACTCCCATTGCTACTTCTCTTGCTGTTACTTGGACCACTATTCCACACGAAAGTCTGGTCCACGGACGCGATCCACTGGTCGCTTCGATCTCCGACCTCGTGGTCCTCAATCCACAGACGCCATGTAGCCTCCTCTCTGCAGACCTCTGGATCCGCCGGCTGGTACCGAAGAAGCAGCTTCCCCCGCGTGCTTTTAGCCAAGAACCTTTTCTGCCAGGCGCCCGCCTCCGCTTCCATCTCAGCCCACCATTCCTGATCCTCTTCCTTTGTCGCCGGTCTCCCTCCACGTTCTCTGTCTTTCTCAATCGTCCTTCTGTCCCAAGATTTGAACAGATCGGAAGGGATATTGGACGGCTGATATCCGACCACCTCAATAGGAATTTCTCCAAAGATATCAGAAATGATGCTTGTCAAACCGTTGACCTGCGGCTCATACGCGAGATTTCCCGGGAACACGAGCTCCTCGTCGGGGATAAGCTCTTTCCCAACCCGCCTTTCTGGCCTTTGTTTCGGGTTAAAGATGAAAGCGCGCACGCTGATGTCTTGAGGCGTCTTCTGGTCCGGGTCGTCCCCGTTCTCGTTCATGTCTCCAAACAAGACGCCCTCAGGCCCGAGATCCGGCTTCATGATCATGTCTTCCAGACCGTACATCATAAAATCGCGCGCGGAGTATTCCCAGTCGTGTGGCGCTTTGTCGTGATATCCCTTACGCAGCGGGCCAAGCTTTCCCCTCAGGAGGGCCCATGACTTCTCGTCTCCTAGCTGCTCTTCCCAGATGTGGCTGACCCATGCGCCACGCTGTGAGACTATAACGATGGATGTGCAGCCGTAGAGTCCCTCGAGCGCGATTGCTCCCACGTCTTTGCCGAAGCGTATGTAACTCGACGTCATTGTGCCACCCATTTCTTCGCCGACAACATCTGCGTCGCCGTGGGACACGTATTCCGGCATATATCCGCCTCTGATATCAAGCCCAATTTCGTCCTTGATGGCGTGCCACTCACCGATTTGATTTACTTGCTCGGGAAGAAATTCGGCGCGGTTTTCGGGTGTATAGTCCTCATCTGGGTCGTACCAGAACCCGTGACCCGGCAAGCCGCGTTTGGCCAGTTCCAACGACCGGTGTGCGAGCAATATCTCTTCCGCCGCTGTTCTCTTTTGTGGTCGTGGACAGGAGGACCCGCCACTGCCGCCGCATTTCCCGGGTCTGCATAGTTGTTTGAAGTGGACGGGACACGCCTTGACCTTGTTCCGCCTGGGTCGTAATTTGACAGGACTACCGTCACTTCCACTGCCAGCTCCCTCGCCGTCGCTTGACTCGTCATCCTTCGGAGCCACGAAGGTTTGGTCTTCGGACGCCTTCCACTGGTCGCTTCGGTCCCCTAACTCGCGGTCTTCGATCCATAGACGCCACGCCGCCTGGTCTCTGCAGTCCTCTGCGTCTGCGGGTTGGTATTGGAGAAGTAGCTTCCCCCGCGGCGTGGGCCCAAAGACTTCACTCTGGTACCTGTCATTTTCTAAAATCCCTTGGTAAAACTCTTCCCCTTCAGCATCTTTATAGCCTCTCTTCACGAATCGGTCATAGCGATCGATCGCCATCTGCAGCGTCCCCAGAGGCGGTGAATACGTGATAACCTCGACGTCAATGTCGCCGTACAAGGAGCTGACCATGCTTTTCATGAATTCAACCTGATCCTTGTACGCGATCGTGCCATCCATTGCGTTAATCGGGTCAGGAATGAGAATCTCGTCTGGGAGGAACTTGATATCAGTACCGTCATCAGAATCCACCATTCGCTGCGGCGTCTCGCGGGGCGTGAGAATGAAGGCGCGGGTGTTGAGGTCTTCGGAGCTCTTCTTGTCCCTGTCATCGTCGTCCGGTATCGCCACGTCGCCAAACATAGTGCCCGGTGGCCCGAGGCGCTCCTTGCCAACTAGATCCGTCAAGCCGTACCTCGCAAAATCCACCACCCTGCGCCAGCGGCTCATCTGACCCGCCGAATGGAGCCCTTTCCACAGCTCGCTGTTGTCGTCTTCCACGGTGAATTTCCACTCGTCTTCATCCGCGAACTGCGGCTCCCAAATGTGGCTCACAAATGCGCCGCGCTGCGATACGACGATAATGGACGTGCATCCGTACAGTTTCTCAAGCGCAATTGACGCAACGTCCTTGCCAAAAAGAATATACTTGGACGTGACCATGCCGCCGAACTGGGGGCCGACGATGGCTGCGGCGCCATGCTGGACGTACTGAGGCTCGTAAAGACCGTTGACATCAGGGCCGCGATGTCTCCCAACCATCTGCCAGTCTCTGATCTCTGCCATCTGGGCGACCATGAACTTGCTACGGTCCCCTTCGTAGTCTTCCGGGTCGGGCCATTCACCGTCGACCGTCTGCCCACGCTTCTCTAAATCCGCTGTGCGACGTGTGAGCTCCTGTTAACTCGATGATCTGTCCAGCGGCTTTGAGCAGGAAGATCCGTCCCCGCCGCCACAAGTATCGGGCCGGCATAGTAGCCGGGTCGGGTAGCTGCGATTTGCTGTGGATTTTCTCGTCACAGTCGTTGCCGCTGGCGTCGCACTGCAGCCGGTGACTGTGGTGTAAGCGCTGGTGACACACTTCGTGGCGGCAGCTTGCGCGTCGCGTCTGGCGTTGCCTTCTGGGTAACTTGACGTTAGTTTGGTCCAGTAGGTAACTGAATTGAGGGAACTGGAAACCCACCACTGGTGATGGAAGTGACTGTGACGGAGCAAAAGACACTTTGGCGGGTTGCTGTGACGGTCGTCGTGCAAGATGAGGTTGACGTCGACGTGGATTTCTCGTCTGTCTCTGTCTTGTCGTCCTTCTTGTCATCGTCATTCTTTTTATCATCATTATTGTCATCCTCGTTGTCATCACCACCCTCGTCGTCTCCGCCCTTGTCGCAGTTGCCAATCTCAATGAAGAAGATTTTGATGCAGAACTCGGGGACCTTGAGTGTGAGTTTGAACTTTGGAGGGAACTGAATGCCCGGGAAACAGCCGAAGCAGATGATGGGGGGCCCTTTGAAGGGAAAGATGACTGGGAGAGCCAGCGCGGGGAAAACGCAAGTTGGGTCGGGTTTGGGAAAGCTTTACCTGGGACGATCGTGGGATCGTTGCCGCCTCCTGGCGATGTGGTAGTGATGATGAAGGGTGTTCTGTGGGCGAAAGACGTCGTTTCGGGATATGGATGTTTGAGAGCTTCCTTGCCAAGGGTAGTGATGATTACTTCGGACTCTGTTGATGACGAAGAAGTTACACTGGACAAAGTTGACGAGAGACTGACTGATGGCGTAGTTGTGATAGAACCAGTTGATGAAGATATGCGGCTTGGGTTCTTGGTAGTAGATGATGGGAAGGGATCTATAATCGCAGAGGTTGCGTTTCCTGGTGCGGTTGGAGTCAAGGCCCGATCCTTCGTCGATTTTACCTTTCGTCGACGACAGTGAAGAAGTCGTCGCCGGCAGTGCCGTTGTTGGTGTCAAATTGGTTCTCATGGCTTTGGAGGATACAGATGAGCTCTTCGCTGTGGTCGATGGGACAAGCAACGTAGTTCTCGTCGAGTTGAAGGGGGGTACATGTGTCGTGGTCGACTTCGGTACCGTTGATGGCTTCCTCGTAGAAGACCGCGCCGATGTAGTGTTTCGCCACCCTGAAGACGCGAACGCAGAGCTTTTTGTCGACGAGACTGGCAGTCCATTTGTTGTTGAGACTGGTTTTGTAGGGCTTGTGGTTGTCAACCCCCATTGAGAAGTATGCTGAGTGAGTGGGACTGTCACGAGCTCGCTGTTCGTCTAAAAGTATCCAATGTCGATTTTGTACCTGTGAACTGGTCGTATGACTTACCGCTGTAGTGTTATGCCAGGTGAAGTCAATACTTGAAATACAGACGCCAGTGTCACCGCGGCAAGTGGGCTGGACTGGTTCATGAACAAGCGTGGTAGTATTCCAGAAATGGTTGGCCGGGCTGGTGGGATTTTGGAATCTTGCAACAGGCTGGTTTAGTCGTTGCTCATGAAATGCATGGGCCAAGGGCAGAGCCCCGACAAGAAGCATCAGCAATAGCCGCAACATGGCCACGAGTATTCAGGCACGGTAAATTGTGGACGATGAAGTCTGCAGCGGAGTTTGGGAGCGTCTTTTTATAATAACCTTCCCCCAGGCGAAGCCGCAGGGAATAACTAACTCTCTTGACCCCTTACTCTACACATCCCATCACGAGTCTCAGGTCAGTAGTGGCTTGTTCGTGCATTAAAGACGTGCTTGACGGAAGGAATCCCATGACCGATATTTTGTGACCATGAGCGCTTCTCGATGCACTTTGCCGCAATTTTGTCACTTCACTATGTGAAAGTCTTGCTCTGGGTGGTCATGAAACCGCTTCTGCAGAATCCTGTTACACGAGCATACGCCGCAGTTACACATACTTCGCGAAGAATAGGTAGGAGCTTTTTCAGTCTCAGATAACAAGTTGTAAGGGGTTAGCAACAAAGGGATAGAGGAACGATGAATATAGGATTCGAATGGAGCACAGCGTAGGTGTAAGCTCACACAAAGGCGTTGAAGCAGGTTGGATGTCGTCTGTATCACAAAGTATCCAATGCAGGGATGGAGAGTGACCGAGCCAAGGACGCGCGCCATCTCGTGATTCGTACCAACCTGCTGTAACTTGTAGATTATGAACGTTACTTTAGTTATAGCCGAACTAAGAGTCAAATACACGGTTAAGTATTGCAAGTTCTTGTTAGACCAAGCCCGCATGCTTTCTAAATATGGAACCTGAAGTGCAAGTTGTGCGTGGCTAACGTACCGTGATATGAAGCCGTCAGCTCATCGAATATTATGTAGCTCTGGCCCGAACCTTTATTACTAAAGCTACAATGAAATGAATCTCATACTCGATTTATGGATGTCTTTCCTTTGCGATGACTACCTAAACAGTAAATGCTTTCACCCAGTCAAGCTTCCCTCCAGCCAGCCACCATCAACCCTCCATTCAGATCTTGTGACAAATTTGCTCTCGTCCCCTAGCAGAAAACAGATGGAGGCGGCGATCTCCTCTGGTTCGGCCATTCTCTTGATCAGTTGCGGAATCGTTTGCGCAGTTGGCGTGAAGGTACCACCGCCAGGAAGTTCGAACGGGGTGCTAGTCATTTCAGAGTTGATTGTGCCCCTAGAAAGTTGTAAGGTGAAACCATTCCACAAAATCGGAGAGATTGCCAGAAATGAAGAACAAAGTCCGACTTACGGATTGAGAGAGTTCACACGAATACCTCTCGCAGCACCCTCAAATGCAGCTGCCTTGGTCAAACCGGCGGCTCCATGTTTGGATGCGATGTATGCTCCATAGTACGGTGAGCTGAAGGAGCTGCATACACTGCCCACGTTCACGATACTTCCGCCATCGGAGATGACTTTCATCTGTTCTCGCAGCAGATAGAAAAGACCGTTCACATTAACGTCCATAATCTCCTTGTAGTCTTCGATAGGAAGCTCGGTGAGGGGGAAGAGCTTCCTCTGCTCTTTGCCTATGGCAGTCATCAGTAAGCCTTCGTGAGTGAAATTGCGGCTTTAAATTTACCAGACACATTGGCACAGGCGTCGATGCGTCCGAAGCGCTTCATCGTCTCCGCAATCCACGCTTGAACGTCTTCATACTTTGTGATGTCGCATGCCATTGTCATGATTCGGTCATCGCTTCCAGGGCACTCCTCTAAGACCTCTGCGCGCGCCTTATCAATTCCCTTGGGCGAGGAACTCGACATGGAAACTGTCGCCCCTCGAAGGACGAGATACTTTACGGTAGCCAAGCCGGTCCCGCGACTTGCGCCGGCGACAGTGATGACCTTTCCGTTGAAGGGAGTCAAGGTTGGCTCTAGGATTCCCATTACGATAGCGACAGGCTAAGCCGAACTGGAAAAAAAGGTGTGATATGATTTGAGAATGGAGATAAATGGGTGTCCAGTGCTGGCAATGGGACAGACAGACAGATTCCACTGGTAAATATCCCACCTGTTTTTGCGTCCATTTCCTCATGCTGCTCAATTAAGCATCACTCCACGCCTCACAGCCGTATGTAAATGCATTGCAACAGTGAGCAGGAAGCAAGTCTACGGACCAACAGCGATTGTTCAGCGTATCTCTAGACCAAGTTGGATAATTCACCCGTCTAAAGGTGGGAAACCGCCGCAGATCGTTCACCATTTTCGCTCCAACAACACGGGCTATTTATCCACAGTTTGCGGGGTGCAAAGGACCGGGGCTGACCGCCCCCCCGGAGCCATCTCCGGCGAGAGCAAGCACGGCATCGGATTCGCCAGTAGAGATCGCGACCCTTGGGGAAAAGACTGTTGGAACTGGGGTAGCTTATGTTCTTACCTGCAGAGCCCACACTTATCAGACCATTTGATGGCATATTTCACGCAATGTTACAAAAAGCCAAGACGGAGTCCCATTTCCTTGTGCCCGAGCACAATGTGGTTGGTGATGATTGCACTGCGTAGATAAGGCAGTGAATCGGCCTCGCAATCATCGTCATGGTGTAAGGTACCATGGCAGCTTCTTAACCCCCGGTAGGTGCTTTACCATTAGGTGGATGTCCCTTCTCTGATCCTTAGTCGCTACATGCAAGTTCAAACATACTTTGGGGGTCTGGACCAACGCTTGACTTGTCCTTTTCGAAGGATGAGACAAGCGGCGATATGATGGAACCCGACCTAGATGTTGACGGGAGGAAGTAAGGTAAGAATAAAGGAGGCAGACAGGCAGCAGGCAGGCGTCTGTGGGGCCGTCGCTTCCCAGAGGAAGTCCGGGCTTTTCAGTGGAGAAAGTTCGCTCCCGCTGGGGTGATCCACTGAGCAGGTGCCCCCCGCTGTCCCGCGTCCCGCGCTGCAAGTCACGGTGCAGCGCAGTAGCGGTTCGGGACCTTCCTGCTCCAAGCATCCAGATTCCATGCTTCAACTCGGACCTCGCATCCTTGTCGCCTTCTCTTCTCTCGTCAGCTTCCTTTCCCCTCCTCAATCTCGTTTTTCTTCCCCAGCGGACAGCACCATCTGCTGCCCAGATATCGACGCCGTTACCGCTACAGCTTCCCGTCTCGACAGCGATTCCTGCTCATTCGCAGAAAAGCAGCCGACCATGTCTTCCCAATCACCGAGCCTACGCAACCTCCAGGCGTCGACCGTCTTCCTCAACTCGGCCGTCGCCGGCCTCAACCTGGGCCTCTCGGTCTTTGTCATTCCCCGCCTCCTCGAGTCCCCGACCCCGCTCATGCTACGACAATGGACCAACATGTACAAGCGGACCAGCCGTGCCTTTCCACCCCCGATCCTCCTTTGCGTCTTGAGCTATTGTTACCTAGCCTTTGCGTTCCGACAGCTCCCCAGCAAGGCCAAGGCATTCGCAACAGCCGCTGCTCTATGTGTCTCTATTGGTCCGTGGACCAGGTTCTTCTTGGGCAACATCAACAAGAAGTTATTCCAGAAGGCCGAAGAAACAAGGGACATGGGTATCATGGCTGTTGGCCTGACCCAAGAAGAAGAGGAGGGTGCCAAATACCTGGTCGACCAATGGGGTCTATACAACCTGGGGCGCAGTGTCGCCCTAGGTCTCGGAGGTGTTGTCGGGCTGTACACCGTCATATCCTGAGTTCGTTGAGTCGACTGTTGTCAGATACGCAAGAGCATCTAGCTATTTGCCACGGCCTCTTCGATGCGACGTTGAGCTATTCCGCTGTATCATATATCATACACACGATATACACGTACTATACAATCCGTTTGAACTCATGGGTATCATCATTACAGCTATATCTACTAATACTACAGATTACCTTTGTACTCCACTCTCATCTCCACGCATCTGCCACTAAGATTGCGCACGCAGTGTTCCAGTCGTCACATCGGCTTCGTGTGCCTTCAGAGGCATCGTGCGGTTGAAGATCTTGTGACCGACAAGCAAAACAATGAACAGGAGGACGCTGATGTACGCAGTGAAAAAGTCACTGGTGCTCCACTCCATGAAGACAGTGAAGCCGTTGGTCAGGATGATGAGGACGTTGAAGAACAGGCCATACCACGACAGCCAAGGCTGGAAGGGTGCCCGGTACGGCAGGATGCTGCGGGGGATGTTCTGCGCCTTGAAGGCGGCCATGAAACGAATATGGCAGATGTTGATGCAAGACCAGCTGATGAAGCCAGCAACGGCGGTGATGTTGAGAAGCCAGTCAAACACGACGCCACCGTTCTCAGACAGGTTCATGTACGCAAGCAGGCCAACGGCAGAGGTGGTCGCGACGGCCATGTACGGAGTGCCAAACTTGTTGGTCCAGGTCATCCACTGGGGAGCGCACCTCTCGTTGGCCAGCGAAACCAGGATACGGGAGCCAGAGTACACGTTTGAGTTGGCAGCAGAGAGGACAGCGGTCAGGAGCACGGCGTTGATGATATCGGGGAGAACCTTCACGCCGGCCAAATTGGCAGCAATGACCAAGGGGGACGCAGAAGCATCCTGGCTGTCGAGCAGCAGCGACGGGTTGTCAGAGGGAACAAGGATGCCCACGAAGAAGATGGTGGCGACGAAGAGGCTGAAGATTCCCCAGAAAGTCCAGCGGACAGCACTGGGCACGCTCTTCTCGGGGTCCTTGGTCTCACCAGCACCGATACCAACCAGCTCGGATCCCTGGAAACTGAAGCCGGCTGTGATCAGGACAGACCAGAAGCCGACAAACTTGCCTACGGAACCCTCGACAATGGACGCGTTGAATGGACCAGGGTCGACCCAGTACTTGAAGCCGAGGTAGCCCTGCTGACCAACACCGGCGTTGATGCAGATGGCGAAGATGATGAATCCGACAATGGTGACAACCTTGATGCTCGCGAACCACATTTCAACCTCACCAAACATGCGGATGGGCATGAAGTTGAGGGCGGTGAAGACGACCCAGAAGATGGAGATGAAGATGGCGATGCTCAAGGTGTCGTTCCAGTACTGAATGATGACGCCAGCGGCGGTCAACTCGAGGGCGAAGGTGATGGACCAGCTGAACCAGTACATCCAGCCCATGGCGAAGCCCAAGGTGGGGTCGATGAATCGGGAAGCATACGACGTGAAGGCGCCGGGGACGGGGATGTAGGTCGCCATCTCACACAAAGCCGTCATGACGGAGTAGACGATGCTGCCGATGAAGATGAAGGCGATCAGGCAACCGACGGGGCCGGCAGTAGCGATGGCCTTGCCGCTACCGAGGAAGAGACCGGTGCCGATGGTGCCACCTGCGATGGCGAGTTAGAGGGAACTCATGACCCCGGATGGGATGCGATCAGTCACATACCGATGGCGATGAACTGGAGGTGACGAGCGTTAAGGGTGCGGTGAAGACCGGTCTCCCCCGTCTCCAAGTCGTCCTTGGAGACATTGTTGGGGGTGACCTCGCCCTCGGTGGACTGGGGCGTCTTCTCCTTGGAGCTGAACATGATGTTTGGTCGGTCGGTGGCTACACGGGACGTTCGCAGACTAGATGGAAATCTCAGTCTCGTCGACCGCGGCTAGCTAGGAGCAAAGAGGTGAGCAAGATCGGGGTAAGAGGGAAGCTTGTTGATTCGCTTCTCCGGAAACCACCAGACGCATGAGCAAACGGAAACCTGGGGGAGGACAGACAGGTTCCGCTACGACCAGACGCTCATGGCATGATTAAATATAATACGGGCTTCTCTTACTCAACGGGTTCCACTACGCGTCGACTCATCGCGACCGGTAACGGTGGCCGTGGGCAAAAAATCTCGAGAGGTGGGAACAATGGCCTCGCTCGAGACCCCCATCGCTTTCCTCGTTAGGGGTTGGCCGATGGAGCACACGAGTCCTCGCGGTCCATCACGCCCTAGTAATGCGACTCGGGAGTCGGCCGGCCACGGGTAACAGCGGCGTTTTCACCAGGGGCCATCCTCTCGACCAGGAAATGGACCGTGGAGCACGAGCTGTTGGACGAAGGGGGGCGGGCAATGACATGCCATTCAGCTGCAACTGCAAGAGCCACGTCTCTCTCGCAGTTTGTCCGATCGACCGGCACTGAAATTCGTATGTACGCCGGAGCTGGTCTAGCTGCTCTTTGCCTTTTGGAGCCTCCTCCTGCGGCTCGAAGCTTCATGCAAAATCGACCGCCGCGTCGCGCCACCCGGTTCCCACCGAGCTTGGCCCGAGCCTCTATTTCCCATGAGGCACTCCCAATTTTTTCTCCGCCAAACCAATCATGGCCGTTCAATTCCTGCAAAATCACGGCATCTCCAGGCTTTTTCCTAGCCACTGACGGGTAGAAATTTTCTCGAACGCCTTCTCTGATACCATCCTTTCCACTTCAGGCATCGTGCAACATCGTCCTGCATTCATGTCGATGAGATGAGCTTGTCGTTCCTCTGCCAAGTTCCGACTTGGACGTGGTCTATTACAGGCCCCCTACGGCGTCCCCCGGCTGCTGTTACATTTCATCGCGGTGTTGCTGCTGCCCTTTGGTCGTTGTTATTGTCGCTGTCCGGCTGTCATTGTCAGCCCTACGGCGCATTTGATGCCTTGAGTCGGCCATGTCACTGTCGGACCGCGCTAGACCGAGAGAGCGGCAACAAACCGACTCACCAGCCTGCGGTTGAAATTTTCTTTCCTTGGCCCTCGTCCTGGGCGGCGCTCCCAGTGCCCACGTCTGGTGATGGGCGCGGCGGATTCCTAGCGAGGATTACGGCCGCGCTTTTGCCTCCCTTCAGCACCCATCCCATCCCATCCACATCCCAGACCAAGGATGAAAAATTCTCCCCCTAGTTTTTCTTACGTCTTACAGTGGGACTGGCGCAGAGTTTTCGTGCGATCGGAGCGGGCCGTTGAGATGAGCAAGACACATCAACTACGAGATGTTTTTTGTAAAGCTCTCGTCGTTCGCCAGGTCGGATGAGCTGATATCGTACTGCGTATATCTCAACCGGGCAACGCAAGCTCACCTCTCGGTTGATGAAGCGGTCTTTGCATATTTGACTTTCAATGTGCTGAAAGCACTGCGGGGTGATGCCTGTCTTTTGCCGGCCCCCAGTGCAACCCCGTCCCCTGCCCGACATGTGGCCGCAATTAACAATTCCGCAACTCTCACGGATCCTGCGTGCCGGCTTCCGCTGACTTTTTCGGAGATGAAGCCATCGACAGCCCCGGTTCCGCTTCGGCATTACGACTCGCGAGTGCCTGAGCCGGCAGTCTCCCACCTCGCCATTCTGGCTCGCCTGCAGTAGCCTTCCGGTGGTTTGCTTCCGGATCGCGGTACCAGTCTCCGGCAGTTATTGCCGGGCTATGAATCGCGGACGCATTGGCCAGTACCGCGTCCCGACCGAAGATTTTGATGAGTCAATTCTCGCCCATGGCGTCCGAGGTGTTGTGGCGCCTTCAAAAGTTGCAAATCATGATTGCTCAAGCGCAAGTCCATCTTCCATTTCATCGATGATCCGTCCAAGACACGATACTTCATACTGCCCTCTCTGGAGTGGGGGTTGAAATTGACTTCCGGCGATAAGGGAGACAGGCGCGACTCCCATTTATCACTCTCTGTGTTCTCCCGAAACGACTCTCACTCATTCTCTTCGCATTCAAAACACCAAGGATCGTGAATGAAATTCGCGCAAAGGCGCTAGCATTTAGCTATGGTCATCATGCGTGTGGTTGGCGTCGCTCCCTCACCGTATGCAATCACCTTTCACGCAGGGCTGTTGGCCTCTACGGGGGCGTTCAATTTGCACCTCAGTGAACAGAGGCCAAAGTCGCATCAGTGAGCGCCAACAGCTTGCGTTGGGAAGCGTCTAGAATGCAGTGAAGGCCAAATGGAAAAAAAAAAAATCGGGAAATCAAGGGGATATCAAGTTGCATCGAGGAGGGGTTAAAACGCAGTGAAGGATACCCTCCAAGACATAGCCTTGACATGGTCTTAGGTTGGTCTTGACTAGCCTTAGTACCCAAACGTCGAGCCAGACCGACACTGAAGCTTCTGTAGGTTTTGAATTTCGCCGACTTGCCGGGTCATGATGGATACTGGACGTCTCGTAGAGATACCTAGATTGTGAATCATTCATCCGCCGTTGGGGCCGTACAAACACGGAGCGGAGGCTGTTGATACTTCGGTGCCGGCCTGAAAATTCCACCATGCGCCGGCTGTGTGGGCCGTATCGGCGGGCTCGGTGCCGTATCGGCCTCGATGAACACCGCTGTGAGGTGGAATTTACAGATACCTCAATTCAGATCAATGAAAGAGCTGCTGTATTGCTCGGCGTCTTTCGGCCACCGAGTTTGGATAGATGGGACGAACCCTCCTACCGACCAGCTCAAGCGCTCGGGCACTAGTAGGCGCCGTAGGGCCTCTCCAACGATGTCGTCACTGACTGCATGTGGTGTATTATGCCTGTCTCATTCCTCAACATCCGCCTGCCACGAAATCAAATTTTCAAAGCGAAGTGAACAAGTCTAAGTCTCCCGTACACTTTCCGAATTCATTCCCCCAACATGGCGAACCTTATTGCAACCGAGGAGCACTACCTGTCTCCCCTGCTCCCGGAGCAGAAGGGTAGATATAACCGTCCCAGCGTCAAGGACTTCGGGACCGCAGTCATCGATAAACTTGGCGATCTAGGTCCGGCGAGGCTGGAGGCAATGGCAAACGACTCTGTGGGGATGACAGTCCTCTCCCATCTACCGGCTACACCAGATGCTCCCACTTGCAAAGCCGTCAACGATGATCTGTACTCCAAGATCAAGCAACACCCAGATCACTACGCCGCATTTGCTCTCTTGCCACTTGAGGATCCTGCCGCCGCAGCTGTCGAGCTCAAGCGCTGCGTAAAGGAGCTAGACTTCGTCGGCGCACTCACCGGGAACCATCTAGACGACGGGAGCTTCTTCGACACGCCCCGCTTCTACCCCCTCTGGGAAGCTGCGCAAGAGCTTGATGTCCCGATCTACATCCACCCAACCTTCGCCGCGGAGGACGAGATGAAGGTCAACTTTGAGGGGCCCTACGACATTGAGATTGCCAAGGCGCTGAGCGCATGGGGCTGGGGCTGGCACTCCCGGACGAGTCTGCACTTCCTCCGCCTCTTCGCCGCAGGCACCTTTGACAGGTTCCCGAAGTTGAAGATCATCCTGGGGCATATGGGCGAGATGCTGCCCTTCATGATGGATCGGATCGTCAGGTCTTCGGGACGGTGGCCGCCTTCTGAGAACCGGAAGAGGGGGCTGAGGGATGTGTGGGATGGCAATGTATGGGTTACCACGAGCGGAATGTTTTCTCTGGCGCCGATGGCATGCTTGATTCAGGAGACGAAGATGGACCGGATCATTTTCAGTGTTGATTACCCGTTCTCTACGAACGGGATGGGGCGGGAGTTTATGGAGAAGTTGAAGAAGAGTGGGTTGGTGGATGACGAGCAGTGGGAAGGGATTGCGTGGAAGAACGTGAGAGATCTGTTGAGATTGAAGTTTGAACCTGGAAAATGAGAATCTGGATGGATGGTGTGTAGGTGAGGATGAGATCCGGCAATCTCATCCATGGGTGTTCACCTGAAGAGAACTCGGCTTCTGTCTCCGGGATGTCAATTTGAGGCCATTGATCTTCGGTTTCAACCCTTTTCAATAAGAAGATTTAGATTGAGTCAATTATGATGAACCCTCGGCTTAATAGGGATGCATGTTATGTTTGACTGGCGATTTTCTTCAAAACGGTTGTCATCGACTGCACGACAGGGTTATTTCGGTAACGTCATCCGAGCGACCGGTCGCGGATCGGCGAAAGCCACGATCGTGCCGCAACTCTTCTCCCCGACCTCAATCTCAGGATCATAGGAGCCGGACGCTTGCGTGTGAATACTTGCAGGTTTCTTGGGGAAAAAAATCAAGAATTCTTCCAGGCCAGCATTATTGAACGTCGTCCACGGCCGCATTGCCCGCCATGGCACTCTCCCTGCCGAAGATCGGCATCCTCTCCATCGGAGACATGGGCATGGACATCGCCAAACTGCTGGTCTCGAGGGGTTCCTCGGTAGCCACAAATGGCGAAGGAAGAAGACATGCTCTCAATTCATAGACAATTGAACATGAGATCTAATAGCTTGGCAGTCAAGCAACGATTGACAGGGCCCGAAGCGCCAATGTCGAGGTCCTGACGTCTGACCTCCACCTGGTGCAGTCGCGACCCTTCATCTTCTCTGTCGCGCCGCCGAGGGATGCCATGAGCATCGCCCAGCGCATCCTCAAGGCTTCACTGGGAGCAAAGCTTGAGACGCCGTTGTATTTCACCGATCTCAACGCCGTATCGCCCGCTACATGCAAGCAGATCGCAGGCATGTTCGAAGAGGCCAAGAGCCCTGTCCGCTTCGTCGACGGATGCATCATCGGCGGCCCGCCAAAGCTCAAAGATCCCAGCGGCGCATGGTACGTCCCAAGCATGCCAACCTCCGGCAAGCACGCTCTCAATGATGCGTGCCCCGAGCTCGCCCAGACTCTGAACATGCGCCACATCTCCCCAGATGTCGGCGCAGCCAGCGGATTGAAGATGTGCTTCGCGACCACGACGAAGGGCTCCATGGGCCTCGGGATCCAGGCCTTCACGACCGCTTCAGAACTAGGTGTTGTCGATGAGCTGCGGAAAGAGATGAAGGAGGCCGCGCCTGGACTGCTTGATTTTGCCGAGAAGTCTATTCCTTTGGTGCCGCCAAAGTCCTACCGTTGGGTGCGCGAGATGGAGGAGATCTCGGATACTCATCGTGATGAGGGTGGCTTCCAGAATAAGGCCGACATCTTCAGAGCCATGGCTGAGCTTTACCAGGCTTTGGCGGATGATGCTGTGTTGGGTGCCGAGAAGGTTGGGAAGAGGACAAGGGGTGACCGTTGATGATGTTGCTGCGGCGCTGGCGGAGGGACTAGCGAAGGATACTTCGAGTTAACCCGTTCGTCAGCTCGTCAGTGATCAAAGATGATAAGGAATCAAGCCAATGGACATTTTCCTGTCGATTTATTTATTCGGGGATGCTGATATCCGATTCTTTCAAGCTCTGAATACACAATGATGGCGCAACGAGAACAGCGAGCCCATCCGTTCCAGCGAGACCAGGGATTCAATAGCGCATGCCGTCTGAGGGAACAGCGAATGATTGGTTCACACCAAACCTTCAATTTTGACCTTTATGGTCAGCAATGCAGATAAAGTCAGGGGATTTCATTCATCGGGCCTCTATGTTGGAGTGCCTTGTCTCACGATCTCAATCCGCGCCTAACAACCTGGCGAACCCGTGATGTAGGTATGCGCTGGCCCTACTAACGCCGGCGCCACCAACCAAAGGATCGCCGCTATCGCCTGCAACTTCACAAACGCGTCTGACACTTCATTTTCGTCACCACCAACGCCACATCTCAGGGCCATCTTGCAAAAATATCCACCACAGTCCTCATTCTCTCCCAACAATATGGTGATACCGTTAGGTGGTCCGACCGGCGATGGCCAGCCTGAAGACCGAGGGGGGGGTTCTCGCGCATGGGATCGAGACATTGACATACCGCCTGAAGATCCGACATCGCATCTTTGCTCCAGACACCGCATCATGAACCTCAAACCATCAGACTTCGCGGCACGGAATCAGATGGACAACCTGCCGCCTGATTGGCACTTCGGAACGCTCCGAGAGGTCATCCAACGAGGCGATTATTGCGTATTCTGCAAACTGGTTGCCAACTCCGTCTCGACGGACGCGTTCTCGCGTGAGGTCGAGGTCTTGGGGTGCTGGGTTCCCGACGTGGTTTTCGAGGAGTTTGATCCCCTGACCCAGGCCGTCACCACGATGACGACACTTCGGCTGAGGATCGCGCTTCGACCCATTTGACATCGTCCCGATGGCAGTCAATGGCCAAGACAACATGTTTCAAGGGCGAACGGTGGATGAGAGTTTCATTGACATTGATCTCCTCCGAGCGTGGCTTCAGACCTGCCAGGACAGCCATCATGTCGTGTGCTGGCCCCAAAACCCCGAATCGCACAACCGTCGGTGGCAAGATGCCGATGTTGAACCCTTCATCCAGCTGCTGGATCTTGAAACAAATTGTCTCATCGAAACGTCTACCCCACCGGAGTTTGTGGCCTTGAGTTACGTTTGGGGCACTGTCGAAGTCTTCACGCTTGGGATGGATAACTATCTTAACCTCATGAAGCCTGGCTCACTCACGGAGTATGAAGGAAAGTTTCCGAAGACAATTCAAGACGCCATGAAATTGACAAAACTGTTGGGTTACCGCTACCTCTGGACAGACTCAATTTGCATCATTCAAAGAGGCGACGAAGACGACAAAGCAGTCCAACTTCGACTCATGGATGTCGTCTACAGCAGAGCATCTGTTACGGTCACTGCAGCAAGCGGCACGGATGCAAACGCCAGACTGGCGGGGGTGTGTGGAGTCAGTCGTAGCAAAATCCAGAATACCGCGAGGTACTCGGACGACCTTCTCCTGCTTGCACTGATGCCCGATTTCGAAGATGGTGTCCAACAGATGTACTGGAACCCTCGAGGATGGACATACCAGGAACGTCTTCTTTCGCGGAGGTTGCTCGTCTTCACCAGAGATACAGTCTACTTTCAATGCGGCCAAATGACTTGCACCGAGGACTTCAACATGCTCAAGCCAGGAGTGATTCAGAGTGCTTCACAACAAGACATCATGCTTTCAAGGGGAGAGGAACCCCCGACATTAACACCACGGAGTCAATATCGGCTCGGTATTTCGGAAGAGTATTACTACCGCATGGTGACAGAGTATACCTCAAGACATATGAGTCACGCATATGACCGAGTCAATGGTTTCGAGGGTATTCTCAACGTTCTTCGCAACGTATACGGCGATGTCTTCATATGGGGGATGTGGACAGGTGACATGCTTCTTCAATCCCTTTTATGGCAGCCTCGCCAGGAACTCAGGCGAGTCTACCGTTGGAACACTACAACACCAGTATACCCGACCTGGGCTTGGGCCGGTTGGACTGGAGCTGTCAGGTTTGACGACCCTGGGGACTGGAACGGATTCCCTTCGTTGGACGAGCCATCGGACAGAGTTCGCCCATCGAGTCTGGGAGCATGTGCTGAGATCAATGAAGACGATACACCCGGATGTCATCTTCGAGTACGCACACGCACTGGAAAATTCAAGCTTACTCTTCACGACAAGAGTGGTGCTCTTAGGCCCCCAGCGTTGCCGGAAGTGGATGGCCCACACCCCGTCCGTTTTGGTATTACAGGTGTGGTTCAGGCCGAAGGTGGAGATCCAGAGCCATGGCTGGGAAGCATCTTGATGCCACAAGACCATCGGCAAAGGCTCTCGGACGAGTACGAATTTGCACTCCTTTCCGATGCTTACTGCTTCTCAAGCGAAGAGCTCTCCACAAGCGCCCCTAGATTCATGAGTCCATGGGAGGTGGTCAACGTCATGCTGATTCACCGACAGGACAAATTGAGTCTGAATGGAGTGCCAGTTGTGGAAAGGGGTGGCGTAGGAAGAATGTTGAAGTCAAGCTATCACAAGAATGTGAGGAAATTCTCGTCGCATAAGTAAGCTGAATCGTCCAGAGCGTCCATGCTCAATATCTTCAGACACTAATGCTAGCATGCTAGGAGAGCCTGCCACATAGTCTGAGCGATTTAACGATGACTCCTTGATGTATGATCTGCCTCCATCGCTGTGCCTCCTGAGTTTTTTCCATTGAACTTCTATCGGCCATAGTGCATATTTTCATTGTTGTATCGCTATGTCCTCTTCGATACCGTTATCGGAGACTTCCGAGATGTGAAAAGCACGCACTTCTTCCCCAACTTCGTACAAGACGTACACATAGGCCGACATCCTGGGGCCCACGTCAGGCACCAGGGTGGTAGGAGGGTACCTGGGTCACGTACCATGATCTAGAACCCACGATTGATGTTTGGAAACGATGCAATCTCAGCTCGGGCACCAGCATCCGTCAGATTCTTCTCCATGATGAGCGCAAACTCGTCCAGTTCCCTTCTCAAGGACTCATCCCTGCTGAACGGCGGAGCAGCCACAGAAGTACGCACATCTGCCATCCTGGAGGCCATTGCGTTCGGTTGGGTATTCGTGATGGTATACGAGTGTTGTTCCGCCACGGGCTGCAGCTCACTGAGTTGGACGCCGTCGACAGTGAAGCCAAAGATCCAGGCAAAGTGCTTTTCGATGACAGGCCAGCGTTGGCGCATTGTTTTCCTGAGCTGGCGGACCTCAGCGTCGTGTTCGGCATCGTACACCGGGTCCATCTCTCGCATAAAATCCACCACGCGCAAATCAACTCTTTCAAAGACTTGCATAGCCGATCCCAGCCATGTCCAAAAGTCCAGTCGTTTGCGAGTCAACGCGGTGAACTTGATGCAGTTCCAGCAACTCTGGAGGATATCGTGGACGACGAGATGCTCGTCCAATGAAGATTCCCACTTTCTCTGGCAGTATCTATATACCGGCGTTTGACCGCTCGGCGGTTCGTGCTTCAAGATAGGAGGGTTTGGAGGATATGCTATATGTTGGCTTTGGACCATTCTGTCGGTGAAAGTCAGCGGTCTGAAGGTGAGCAGAGATAATGGTGGATGGCGTTTGCAAGTTCTTTCCCGGCAAACCTGAAAATTGAAGTTAAGTGGGCTTTTCATTTAAACATGGACATATGCGCATCAAGGTTGTGGGTTGGCCCGGAATTTAGCATGCAGGTTGCAGAGACCTTTTGCGCCACGGCTGGGGGCGCAGTGTTGCCTTCCAATCAGGGTTCCAGATGTTTGTTCTGCCTTTCTGTAGGCGGAGACGAGTTCTACATATTGATGCAAAGTTACATGGTCAGAAGCAATTATTGTCATTGGGCAAATTCTAATCCGAGATAAAAGACGATAGGCATGAGATCCTCTTCTTTAGTCTTTATACATCGCAACCTCTCACTGACATTCACGACACAAAATGCGTAGTAGAGCGAGATAATGCGGAGTAACATACAAACCCCATAACGCTATGCATAACACCAATCTCGTTGAATTTACTTTGGCCTCCGCGTAAACGCGGATTCGTATTCGGTGAAGACATCTTCGTGGAACCCCATTTCCGCAGCTTTAGCACTTCGAAACCCTACATATGCTTTTATTTCGTCGGTTTCTCCCTTTTCTGCCATTTTTACTAAGATACTTCTCACTAAATATCGCTATCCTTAATACAAGTGTTTAGTGAAAAAGCGTTCTGTCCATTCACTGCTTCTTTAGCTGCCACTCTTTCAAACCAAAAATGAGGTTCTCGACTCTTTTCTTAAGTTTCACCGTGGCTTTATGTCATGTCAAGTCATCAAAAGGCTCCCCAAAATCTCCGCAGGTTGATCTGGGCTATGCCCGTTACATCGGTCTTGGTAACACCACATCAGGGTATGGCTATTTTCCCCAGCTCTCTAAATAGACGTGGCTGAAATGCTTCAAGTATCAACGCTTTTTTCGGCATCCGGTATGCATTGCCGCCTACAGCAGAGCAACGCTGGCGCAAGCCTGAGCCTGTCGATTCCAAGCCTTGGCCTGCACAAAAGCCCATTATCGATGCCACCGTATCCGGGCCTCGGTGCATCGCTATTGATAACTCCCCTTGGATTTCTGGATCAACTGCACCCAACAACACTGCGTCGTACGAGTCGGAAGATTGTCTTCTGTTGAACGTTCTGGTTCCTTCACAGCCTGCTTCCACCAGACTACCTGTTCTTGTGAATATTCATGGCGGAGGTGAGATTTCTCCCAATCGTAGTGTTATTAAATTACTATATTGAAATTGAACTGACGAAACCATAGGATATGTTGCAGGTGTACCTGTCGAAGGGGATGCTTTCGTCCATCAGGCTCAAGGGCAGATTATATTTGTTGCTATCCAGTATCGCCTAGGCGTTTTCGGCTTCCTTGCTGGAGACGAAATCCAGGCTTCAGGTGTTGCAAACGCTGGCCTCCTTGACCAGCGCGAAGCTCTCAACTGGATTCAACGCAACATCCACTATTTTGGTGGTGACCCAGACAAGGTCACGATCATGGGTGGTAGTGCTGGCGGCGGCTCTGTCAGCATGCAAATGTTGCTGCACGGTGGCCGACAGGCTCCCCCATTTCGTGCGGCTATCCCCGAGTATGCTTGGTGGTCTCCAATGTACAACCGCACTTGGGTGAGCAAGCAGTATCAGCGGGTCCTCGAATCCAGCTCCTGTGCCAGCCTCAGCTGTCTCCATGGACTCTCAGCGGCGGCTCTGAACAACGCAGCTTGGCGAGCTTGGAAGACTGCTCTCAATGAAGCGGAGACAGTTTATGGCCTGTTTTACTACGGCCCGACAATTGACAACGACGCTGTAATGGACTTGCCAGCTCGACAGTTCAAGGCAGGGAATTTTACCAAGGTACCTGTGCTTGTCGACCGCGACATGTGTGAGGGACCGTACTTCACTTCTGTCAGTCTATCGACACACGAACAGCTCTTTGCTGATCTCAAGGCCATGTGGCAAGCTATTCCTCACTCAGTCACTGAAAAGGTTGTAGACCTGTATCCCACAAGTGTGTACAATGGATCCCTGATCAAATCAGCTGGCTGGTTGAAGGCTTTGACAGGGGGCTTCGATGTCTCCGCGCCTTATGTTCAGAGACAAGCTATATTTGGGGCCTCAGTGGTCGACTGTCCGTCAACCACAATCGTTCAAGCTTCCATAGACACTGGACAGAAAGCCTTCAAAATGGTATTTGAGGCTGGCACGCAACTCCATGGGGCCACGGCATCATACTTGTGGTCCAAGGACATTAGCTGTGAGTTCTCTCCTTCCTGATAGTCCTGCGCGCACTACTAAAACCATCTGACACAGTTGATGGAGCTTCTACTCTTGGCACTACGTCGTTTGGCGGAATTGCTACACTCGCTTATGCTTTGCGAGAATACGTTGCAGCATTCACCATCAATCTTGATCCCAATCCCGCAAACCTCTCAACCAGTGTAGCTTACTGGCCAGAATTCACTAATCAGGGTCGACAAATTCTACATATGCAGGATGAACAAACTAGGGTAGCCTATGACTTTGACTCTAATGAGCAATGCAGCATACTTGGCTCGTTGAGCACGATTTGAGGCAATTTATTTGGTAACTTCCGCATGATGGGAACCTGGCTGGAGAATCAAGCTTGTATAATCTGTTTTTTATCGCCTTGGAGGTATTTTAAGAAGTAATCAAGATTTTGAAGAAGTAATCAAGATTGACATTCAACTATGTACAGAGAATCTAAACCCGAGATGTTTTTGCCAAATTTCCTCCGTAGCAGATAGAAAAACCGACCAAAAGAAAACTAATCTGCGACCTATCCAGAAGCTTCTTACCATCCGTTTGATGAGGACTTCGAAATGGTGTTCAGTTGTCGTAGAAATCCCAGGGGTCGGGACCACCAAAATTCTCGACATCGCGGCGCCAGGGGCCCTTCTTCGGGCCCTTCTTGTAGCCTCCACCATATCCCCCGCCATATCCTCCTCCATGGCCATAGCCACCACCACCATATCCTCCTCCGTGACCGTAGCCGCCGCCGCCGTAACCACCTCCCTTACCTCCATAACCGCCGCCGCCGTAACCGCCTCCCTTGCCCCCATAGCCACCTCCATAGCCACCACCCTTCCCGTAACCGCCACCCTTGTTACCATATCCTCCTTCTCCTCCCTCCTGGCCATAATCTCCCTCATCTCCACGCTTGCCGAGATCTTTTCCGTTCTGCTGATCGTCCTTATTGTCGTTCTTCTGCTGGCCGTGTCCCTTGCCACGACCACCATACCCGTTGTCTCCATATCCACCGTTGTATCCACCTTGGCCTCCATGCCCGTTGCCGTAGGAGTTGTAGTCATCGTCATCGCCATATCCGCCGTATCCGTTGCAATCTTTGTCTCTGCCTCCTCTGCCACCTCTCCTGCAGTTACGATATCCATCTCGATCGCGATCATTCTTGTTATCGTTTTTCTTGTTGTCGCGTGCCTCCAAATCGTCGTTCATGCTAGCTTCGTTGCGTGCGACGACAGCATCACTGAGAGTCTTCTATTCGTCAGTACTGGTGAACCTTTTTCTAGACGAGTAGAAACCTACAGAGAACACGTCTCCATTGGGCTGGTGATGAGAAAAGAGGTCAGCGAATAATGCTCACCAAGGAATGGAATATAGAGACAAATAATCAGATTATTCACTTACAGCTGCTTCGGGGGCACGCTAATCGCCTGGTTGTCAGCAAAGAAGATCTCCAGAGCCGTAAGCCGAATTGGTTTGCTCACCTCCGTAAGTTCAGCTGCATCAATAGGCTCAGGCTCAGCAACTGGAGCAGCGATAGCGGCGATGGCATAGACGGCCATGCCAACGGTGGCAGCCTGACGGAAAGACGGGATATGCATAGTGAGGAGGTGAAAAGAATAAGCAAAATTTGAAATGTGTTGACGGAGAGATGCACTGCTCAATCGAATCCAAGACGATGCTGGATGAGATGAAGAAGAAAAGGATGGTGGATTGGGCGGATCTTCGCAGAGTACTTATACTTGAAACTTTTCACACGTAGATGATCATGATTGTATAGCTGAAGGTACTCTTACTGTCCGTATCCGCGTTGGCCGCTGGATATTCACCCAACCCCTCTGAGTTGAGGTTTGACTAATTGCTTACATCCACAGCCCCAAAGTCTCGATCATCATTCATCAATATCCATGAACACAAGTCAGGTTGGAATTCTAGATTCCACGCCAGGGTTGGCTAGGTTCAGGGTACCGTCCACAACAAGCGATGATCTTTGAAGTTTAAATCATCCATGGCGAAGCAATCGATGATCCGAAAAAAGAGGATGTGTGTTTGCATAGCCAAGCAGAGCCGCCTGAAGTTTAGGTCATCCGATCTATTCCCCCTAAATCCCTCTGTGTATGGACTGCACGTTCTTGATAGATGACAGATGTAGGAATGAGACACCCGAGGATTCATGTTTGATAAGGATGAACATCACAACTGAACTGGTCAGATAATCCTTAGGATGCACGTACTGAAGATGTTCCCTGACGTGAATACTGTATGGAAACACTGGCAATGATGACTTGCCCAAGTGATCGAAGGATTTTGAGATTATGCATATTCTCAACGTTTGAGCGATTGTAACTTTCAAACTGTCAAAACAGAAAGAAAGAAAGAAACAACCTGGAAAGATCGCCTGATTTACCCCTCCTTTGGTCTTCATATTCTCTCTGAAATTGGCTTTTGATAATAACCCTTGGTAGCTGGCTTGGCGCAATCGGATCATTTGGAGCTCATTTTCGTAATAGACCGATACCATTCCACAATTGCTGTACATTTAGGTGTGATTTGACGACTTATGCGATCTTCATCATCGCATGGGGAAGGATTTCCCGGTCAAGGTCATCGGCCATGTACTGGGAAGCAAGCTGGTTCACGAACACGACTGTCGTTCTTGGCCGAAATGCTTGGACCAACTCTATTCTTAGCTTACACATCTCCCGGTCGATCACTAGGGTAAACTTTCCGAAGTCAGGGGACAGGCATCCAACAACCACCAGCATGGATTACTAAGTGAAAGCAGGCGGCATCTTCGGGAAATCATTCTTTTGTAAGTGAAATTGGGCTTTAAGAAATCCTGAAGGATTTTTCTTCGGTTGTTTCAGGTTTCAACAGAGCTCAACGTGGCGGATGCTTTCTGGCGGGAATGGGATAGAGTTGACTCGTAAATCCGAGAACTACTGCACGACTTCTCAACTCTGATGTACGATGGATCATGGAAGTGCTGATACTTCTGCGCAAAGGCTGGCATGATGAGCTTGCCAGTAGAGTAATGGGCCACTGATTAGGCGGCATCCTCGGTGAATACCGGTCACGAACAGAGCCACTATGAATGACATGTAGAGAAATCCGAAAAGCATTGTGCCGAATCAGCGGCGTATGCATAGGTATGTAGCAGAAAGCGAAAGCGACATCAAGCCGTCATCAAATGTACGCATCAGTCATGCTTCTAGAGCGGCCGGTTTAATGTTGGATGCTTGGCATGCGTCCTCTGCACTCCAAGTTCAGTAGCATTGGGGCAGGAGAAAAGTAGGTTCAAGCCATCGATGGAAAGACTTTGCCCCACGATATTGGGGTGGATTTGGCGAGACCAGCTGAGCGTCGCATGCGTCTTTAGTCAAAGGCATTGCGGGGACGACGTCGAGAGATAACGTCTTGATAGACGCGAATACTCCTAAGGCGTTCATGCAGTATGAAGGCTCACCGAGCTATTTGTTCCGCCGTCACAAGTATCTTACTACGCTGACTGTCCATGGATGAGCAAGCAACACCAGGGGCCCCAACTAGCTGAATGAGAAAATCGCTGTGAGGGCACAGACCAGTCAAGATCAGAATAATTGATACATCGCGCTTGTCACTTTCGCTACCTAGTGTCATGTTCGTATTTGATTTGAGTTCATCTGATGAAGTTGATTACACATCGTACAAAAACATCAACATCAGCCTCTCAATATTAGGTAATGACAGGAAAGGCGCAGTCAGATTAAGCCACAAACCTACAACTTGTGGATTAGAAAACTCACCCCAGAATGCTACTCTTTGGCGGAGACTCAAAACCCCAGAATAAGTTGCATGGACACAGGGGCTCAAACTGAGAAATGCTTGCTTGAGGCTGATGAAAATATTGAGCTTCAGAATTATGCGAATGCTGGCTCCCCTTCAGAAACATGTGCCGAAACCCACGACTCTCTCGCGTGCATAAATTTGACTCTGCTCATCTACTTCGGCTACAGTATCTGATGACTCATTCACGCGGCACCGAAGTTCTAATTGAGTCTATCGCATATAAGCTTCATGATCCCTGCACGTGTGGTCCAGACTGGTAAGTTGCAGGGTGCGCCCATTTGCGGATGTTGGATTCGCCTCCTCAAAAATGCCGACCGGCACCCGGCATCATCTGCAACTCAAGCTTTGCCAAGCCATTGATATTGCTTACGGACCGATGATAGTAAAGATGTCTCAATCTTGCGTCCTCACTTGTATCTCAATCCTTGTTGTGGGACTTTGACTGTGTCTGCCGCGGCTGTGGTGAATGCGCACTTCCCCTCCCCTCCTGTCATCTGGATAGCCCCCCATTGAACTGGTAGAAGATATCCGCTTGCACGATCCTCTTCCAACACATGGCATGCCGCACTGATTGCTAGACTGTTTGTCGAGACCATTCGCATTGTTCCGTCGTAACGACGAAAACCGATGGCCACGATGAAAACAATGATCACGAGCCCCGCCAACATCGCTGCAGTCCGTGTTAGACCATGAAAGTTTTCAACAGAAACCCCAAGCTCACCAATAAAAACTGCAATTGGACTATAGCCGCAAGTAGAGAAAGAATTGGCCTCATCGTCACTACCATCCGCCGAGATAGCCCGTATTCGTGCTAAAAATAGACTCTGCGAGATCAACCAGTGGATCACCCCTGAGCTAGCGTAGAGAGGTATGCCATATCTCAAAGGAAGGGAGACGAAATAGCTTGAACTTTGTATCCCAACTGGCTCAGAGACACGCAGTGGCTTTCTGAATTCGTAATTGTACATCCGGCTAAACTCTCTCTGTACGAGAAACGTGCTCAGCATGGTATTGTACATGATGTATACGATGGAAAGCACCAGCTGAGGAAGGTTGGCCAAGAGAACATTGGTTATCAACCCTACAGGGTCTCTTTGAGGAAGATTGAGGACGAGATAAGTGTAGGGTGTGAGAGCTCCGAATCCAAGATCCCAAAGTTCAGGAATGCTGACTCCAAACCTCCTGTGTCGAAGACTGACGAAAGACATACTGAGGAGAATGGCAGCAATGACGATGACCAACAGGCACCTGCGTATAAATCTTAGTGTTATTGAAATCAGGGCAATTTTCGTGAAGGGAAATCTCACATGCAAAGAAGGATCACCCAGCGCTTGAGACTGGCAGCAGACCTCCACTGTTTGGCCGTCGGAGAGAACTCTTTCGCCTCGCGATTGGTAGTCTCTTTCAGAATAACTGGGGTTTGCTTAACGAGGCGATCCTTCCATTTCCTGGTCGTCAGGAAATCACTTTTTGTGGAAAGACCTAGGTCTTTCGTTTGTTCGCATGGGTCCCTCATGAAAGATGCAATTGCATCGCCAAGTGTATACAGGACTTCCTTCGCCTTCCTATGTTGCTTCTGATCTTGCCACTTTCTCAAGTACCAAATGCATATCATGATAAAAGCTTTGATGAAATTCATTATGCAGATGGTGAACATGATGGGAGGCGAGTACTCAAAGCGGCATTTCGTGTGCAGCTCGTTAGGAGGTTGAACCAGGCATCGGGCGACCTCATAGTGCTTTGGTCCGAGATACCAGACGGTGACAGGTTTTGGGGGCGACTGAGCAATGAAACGGCCAGTGCCATTCCCCAGAGCCCACATGTTCTTTCCCCAATCGTCAGAACGGGGAACAATTGACACATACATTAGGAGGCTGTCGTCAGGCGGTGTTTGTACCGACTGGTTTTTGACCAACACCAATACGTTGCCTTGAGGCTGCCAGTAGTCGTCGTAGAGGGCAAAGCAGTCCGATACATTCATCTCTTGGTATGACGACGCGTTTTGCTGCATCCCACGGATGATCTGTTCATAATCCAGATTAGTTGGATTGACTCGCGTGTCATTCCATCCCCAATCGCCTGCACGATTAGCCTCTGCTGTAGTGAGACTCCAGGTGCTGTTGGCTAGGAACGAATCTTTGATAACAGCAACGGTGTAGTTGTGTGAGGATAAAGATTGGAAAACAGCCGAGTTATATCTGATCGCATGTCAGCCAGCAGTGACTCAGTTGCTAAACGCACAATCCCACGTGTACTCACATCAGATGCACTGGGATGGAACTCAATGCCAGAAGAGCCCATGACGCCCGTCTCCAATTGCTGAGGTATCGAAGATTCCGCAGACTGGGAATACCAATATCCAACCATTTCTTTGCGGCGTGTGCAGCATCTACATTTGCGCGGGTGGGTGCTGCTTGCAACTGCATGCAGTAATTGGAGGCAGACAGCATGCCTGTACCGAGAAGGTTTATCAATAGGTGGAGCCATTGATCCAGCTTCTTCACGTTCGAACAATCACCCTGGTATATCAACCCTACTCCATTTGAGCTCCCATAGCTAGCGACAGCGAATATGGTCAAACCCAAATTAGTCATGAGGATAAGACTGATGATTCCAATCTGCACCATCAGCGCCCGGCTTCTCCTCGAAAGCCAGATGCGCCAATTATTCTTTTCGTCATTGTCGATCTGGGGAAACCACCCGGAAAGTGTTTGTCTGTCAGCGAATCGTTGCACCCTGAAACTCGAGGCCCTCTGAGAATGTGAATCATCTTTGGGCTGCGTCGTTCTGTCTTGAGTATGGGCGGGAGACGCTGTTTGAATTGTTGTTGCGTCTTCGTGGTCATGAGTTGCCGATTCCTCGTTCACATTCTCGATGACAGCCTCGCTAGGCTCGGGCTGGCCCGCTGAACCGGTTCTGGAGGTGGTAAGCCGTTGTACTTAGGGCTTGAACGCATACTTGCTCACTGGTCAACTTCTCGCGATGGATCCATGCTTAGGACTCATGTTCAACGCCACGCTGACACCCTCGACATACAAGCCTTGAGGTTTCTGTGGCTTGCCATCCTCCGTTAGTTTTGTAGTGTGAGATAGAAATTACTTCACTATTGATGGGCGAGGCTCCAAGTAAATATGATAACGAACTGCAGACCACCCTGCAGCCCCCTCAGCTGATGCACCTCGAAGCAGGGATACACCCCTTGTTCTGGATATGACGAGGGCTCGGCTGCATGTTCCACATCATTGGCTACAGACAGGCGCTTGTTTCTATGTTGACGCTACTTCAGGCCGTGGTCATGGGTAGATCCGAGATAAGCGTTCGGCCTACGAGCCTGATGTGGATCGGGATTGGAAAACGCAGTCGTAGCATCACTGCAGCCTGATTGAACTGTCCCCTCCCGGTTTGCACGATGGCGTGCGAAGATAATCACTCGTGCCGAACTTCCGAAGCCTGATCCATATGCACAAAAATTGGAACAAAATAGCCATTCGCTACCTTGACCTACATTGATTTATATGGTGTACCTGAAGCCTTTTTGTAAAGCGCGCGCCGTACTGAGACTGACTCCCTCCACACGCGCACTTTTCTCGAGCTTAGCCAGTTCCTTCTGCGTCAATTGGACGTCCTCGTTCTCCAACCTAGCTAGCCGATTGTTCTCTCGAATGAGAATGAACCGCAGCAGTGTCATCAGCGCTGCAGCCGATGCGATGAGTCCAACACAAATTCCGATACCGGTGAAGAAGTACGGTGACTCCTTATCAAGGTACGTGTATGGGGTCCAGATGGAAACGGAATTACCGAGAGAATTGATGAGAGCGTATGCCGCGGCACGTTTGGCGGGTGGCCGAGAGACGACTCCAGCAATCCAGCTGAACAAGGTACCGTTGATATTCATGAGAAACATCATGAAAAAGAACGTCATGTACTTCGGCCCAAAAATATCGGTGGTCATGAAGACCACAAAGCCAATAATTGAGATCACTGCTGGATACAAGCAGAACCAGTATCGGGTGGTGAAACGGTCGCTTACAATGCCGTGGACGTAACTCCAGATGGTGATAAAGATGTGAGGTGGCGCCACGAGCAAAAGTGATATGTAATGGCTGTAGCCCAGAGTCCTTGTCAGGGTGGGGAAATAGTATCCAAACCCTTGCGCTCCGGTAAGACCCATATAGATGAAGGCGAAAATCCAGACTTTGGGATCGGCGATGCAGAGTTTAAGGCCCTTCAGTTGTGACGGCACGCCTTCTTCATCGGTATCAGCTTCCGCTGCCTCCAGAGCAAGTCTTCTGTTCGCTGCGAAAATTGTTTAGAACTGTGCGACCCATGCGGGCGGAGCACACTCACCGACGTGTTGCATTTCTGGAGTGAAAGCTCGCCACGTCTGGGGGAAGTCGGGTAGAAAAATACACACAACAATTCCAGCGACAACAGTTACTGTGGGATGTTAGCTGCTATCGCAGACTCCGATACAAGGGATACACACTTGAGCCCTCAAGGATGTAGAGCCAGCGCCACGCAGAAAGACCTCGGACCCCTGCAAGTCCTTCCAAGATGCCGGCTGCGATCAAGTTGCCAAAGGCGCCAGCGATGAGAGCCCCTGAGTAGAAAATACTCATCCGTAGATTCATCTCCTTAGTGTACCATTTCTTCCCATTTGGTCAGTTTGGATACGACAACGAATTCACGAACACGATCTAGCTTACCGATAGATAGAACAAGACCCCGGGGAAGAACGGTGCCTCTTGATACGTGAACATTAGCTTTGATCCACTACTCGGAAGATCCCTTACAAAGCATACCAACAAATCCGAGAATAAATCGGCAAGTTACAATTCCTGCGAAGCTCTGCACCAAAGCAGTGAATGCGGATACCATTCCCCAAGCTATGGTAAAGAACCCAAGATAAAGATATGGCCGACCGAACCAGTTAAGCAAAAGATTGGAAGGAATCTGGCCCAAGATATACCCAACGAAGAGGATGGAAAGTCCCGTTTGGTATTGTGTTAGGCCAAGATTCAAATCATCTTCTAGACCAGCGAGACGTGCGGATGCATAATTGTTTCTATCGAATATAAAAATTTGAGTGTTAGTACTGTCTCAGAGTGATAATGAGGTAGAGTCTTTTTACCTATCTATCCAGTTCAACAGGTACACTGTCAATATCAGGGGCATAATCAGCCAGTCGATTCTCTTCACAAGACGTTTCTCAATAGCCTTCTCAGCATCTGTGAGCTCAACCACACGAGAAGAATCGATTGGCTTTTCTCCAAGAAGATCATGATCGTTGACAAGATCTTTGCTGGATTTGATGTCTGTCATGATGAGAATCTCGATTCTTGGACGTCGAGAGAAGTTTTTCTTTTCACCATGAAATTTCTGTGTCGAATCCACGTTGCCATTATATACGTCTTGTCTCTCTACAAATGATGAGATATCCGGCAAGATAATATGCCGTGGGGAGAAGCCCAACTCCGCGTCACCTCCGCACACCGCACCATCCATATGGCGCGCTTCAGACTTGGCAGAATGCAGATCAAGATCCAAAGTAGCACGAGAAGGTCGTTTGTTTAGCATCATTCGTGCGCTTCAATTAATGCAGTAAGCTAGCACGAATCTGCCCCGCGTTTTCCGCGAGCTTGTGGAACCTTTTCCGTAGACCTTGGCAGCCCGGACAAACTCTGGAACCAAGAAGCACCTTCCATAGTTATATGAATAGACATAAATATTGATTGATATTGAGGGCTATCGAGCTCATGGAAAAAAGATTTTATGCTCATACCTGTCCACATTCGCAACCTTGGAAGCTGGTGATCCCATGAACTCCATGAGCAATGCCATCCGTGGAAACCGAGTCGCGCAGAACTCGTAGTGTCAGAACAGTTTCACAGACACAGTTCGCTTCTTTTTGCTTCTATTTTTGTTAAAAGAAACGTCACGAGAAATCCATGGCTTCGCGGCTGAGGTTGGCAGATGTCAGCAACGTGGAATACTTGTGAATTTGCGACTAGCTCATGTCTAATCCAAATAAGCTCACCCCGCCGTCACCGTTGCATCCAGCTCAACTCCACTCTGGACCATCCAGCGCCACAACTTAAATCCAATGAACAATGGCGATCTTGGGCCATGGTAGCCATAAAGGTAAAATATTGGCTGTAAATATCCCAATTTCTTCCACATATAACATTGAAGCCATCCCGCGAGGGATTCTGTGTCTCCTCTGCACCTAACCTCAGCTGTCTGACAACCGCCCAGTCCACCGCCAATCACCTTTCTTTTGTGAGTTGCCCGGACCCAATTACCACAGTCTTAGCCAAGACTTTGGCGAGTTCGTGATCCTTGACTGCCTAAATTGGGGGCAGTGCACCAACTAACGCTTCGATAATTAGCGCTGCAAGAAGCCGTGCTTTGCATACGAAAATCACGTGTGGGTTCCCAAAGCGCGACTCAGCATCCTTACCTTCGCCCCCCGAAGCTGCCGTCTCACCTCATCCTCACTCACGACGCCAGCCTCACTCGATCATCATGATTCCCCGGGTCGTCTTCTTCTTCCGATTTCTTGTCACGTTGGTCCCAGTCATCACTGCACTTGATGTGCCAGAAAATGTCAAAGACTTTTACGATCATGTCCGCGGTAAAGGCAAATGCGGCAACGTCTTGAAGGGTGGCTTCAACAGCATGGATGGCGACAGCGGCGACTTCGGATACTGTGGTGATTACTTGGAAAAGTACAACATCATCTACATTCAGGGCAAAAAGGGCCAGCTCACCAATATGGACATCGACTGTGATGGCGTCCAGACTTCAGGCGACGGCCGCTGTGCCAGCTCTACGGATACCCAATCACAGACAACTTTCAAGTCGAGGTTGAGCTCTTGGGGTAACGGCGACCTCAACTCTTACATTCACCCGTACGTTGTCTTTGGCAACGAGGGCTCGAAGCCCAACTGGCCAAACTTGGATCCCAAGGAGTATGGCGTCGAACCTCTCAGTGTGATGGCTATTGTGTGCAACAACCAACTGGTTAGTAATTGCCTTGATCTCATCTGAGCTCTGATTGTACTGACTGAGTCTTAGTTTTACGGCGTCTGGGGCGATACCAACGGCGACGACGGCGATCAGCCTATGGTTGGAGAGGCATCCATTGCCCTGGCGACTTCATGTTTCGGAAACGGCGTCAACGGCAACCAAGGTCACGATGAGAACGACGTCCTTTACATTGCATTCACCGGCCAAGATGCCGCTCCTGGTGCAAACGGCGCCAATTGGTCCGCGTCGACTTCCGCCGAGTTCTCCAGCAGCATTAATCAACTTGGTAACAAGTTGGTCGAGCGCGTAGGTAGTGGTACTAATCTCAACGCCTGCGCGAACAAGGCGGTGCTGTTCTCGGCTTACTTATTGGGGCTTTTCTGGATCATCTCCTGATTCAGACGTAGCCAGTTCTGGCGTTTGGGCCTGTTTCTCCTTGTGTTTTTCTTTTCCGTCTTTCATCCTGTTTCTACATGTTAAACTGGCGTTCAAGCCTGTCCAGGAGTTATGTTTTGGGAGTTTCCGTTCCCCCATCCCTAACCATCATCCTACGCATCCTTCTTCCACACCTGCATAGCATCGTCCCTCCGCACAAATTCCGGTTCTCAGTTCTGTTCACTGATCAGATTATGACATGCTCAATTCATTTATGTACTCATCATTCTGTGTTACTACTTTGCTGCTATTTTGGGATACATCGCACGCGGAATAGATTATGGAGGAACACCGATAAGGCCTGGCAAGAAGGATAGAATGCGAAAAAGTAAATACATTTAACAAATACATACAATTGCGAAATATTTAGTAGGGCTATCTACTATGCTGTAGTGGAAACCATGGTGTTGTTTTCAATGATGTGGTAAAAATCAAAGGTGGGAACCCGTCTTTATGTTGCTTGAAGTATGTATCTATTCCACCTCACCTTGTACTAAAGGCTCTCGCTCTCTTTCCCTATGAGTGAGCTGCCCCACATTTGTGCTTTCAAACTTGCGGGCCGAGATTTTCTGAGAGAAGAGAACATCTAGCTCCTCATATGTTCGTCCCTTGGTTTCAGGCAGCCTGAAGAAGGCCCAAAGTAGCACACAGAAACAGGTTCCTCCCCAAATAAAGCCTTAATTATTGAGCGTTAGTCGAGTCTGCACAGACGCATATATGCATGAAAACGAGGCAATGGCGACATACCTGTGTACCCGGACAAATCCCACGCCGTGGGGTTGATGAAGTATGACTGGAGCACTGAACATGTAACGTTGACCATGTAGTATGCGTTACGGGCCAAGCAGACTGTTTTTTGCCTTAGCCTAGTTGAACCAACCTCAGCTGGCAGTGCCCAGCCTAGCTGTCCAACAGACAACTGAAAGACGAAAGTCCAGAACAAACAGAGGGCCGCCTGCGTGAACCCTACGCCGGTATGGTAACCCCAAATTTGAAGGATTCCTATGAGTAACAACACGCCCATCATGACGCCTGTGCCGGTTAGGTAGATCCTTCTGCGACCGAAACGAGGCATCAGGATAAACCAATTCAGAAACGTGGCAAGGAGCGCAAGGCCGGTGGTCCCGATATTGAGAGAATATGTCGTTGCCGTGGGAAGTCCGATTCTCTCAAAGAAATAGGTAGAGTTATCTTGCGATATTTGTCAGTGGAATCGTAGATGAGTGTGTCTTCAAATACTCACAGCCAAGGTTGAGTCCGACAAGAGGCTGCCCAATAAATGCCATGCATGCGATTTCTGTCCTTCGAAGTTCAAACTTCTTCAGGCAATCCCAATATGACGTGCCGACCTCAAGCTCTTCTTCGAGTTTGTTCGTGTATACAATGGCGGCCAATGCCTTCTTCGGATCTGCTAATGGTGACTCGACCTGTAGCCTGCGCAGAGATCTCTCCGCCGCGTCTAGACGCCCGTGTCTAACTTCGTGCCATGGACTCGTGGGTGCCAAAGCCACAAGCGGGATGAGGAATGTTGGCCATATCCACTGGACCGCGAATGGGATGCGGAAAGCCCACTCATCCTCGCGGGACTGGAAGCCGCGTAGCACACCGGCCGCAATTAGTTGGCCGATGATGAAACACATGTTGGTGAAGCTCGTGAAGTAGACTCGTAAGATTACGGGAAGACATTCGGAGGCATATGCGGGTGCTGTGGTAGCGAAGACTCCCCAAGGGAATCCAGCAAGAAACTGGCCAACTAAAAGAACTGCAGCGGTCTGCGCGAAAAATGTTATGAAAATAAATGAAGACAGGCTGATCAAGGCCCCTAAGAGGACAGCTTTGTGCCCGAAGCGACTGACAAGAGGCCTGGAAATGTTCGTCAGCTTCCTGACGACATGGAATATGATTCCATCACGTGGATACATACCCATTGAGAAGAGCACCAAAGAACGCGCCCACGCCGGATGCATTTGATAGCGCAGCCTGCCAGGGTGCGCTCAGCTGATATCCCGTAGGCCCTCTGCCTACATGGTCTCCAAACTTAATCTGGAACTGGGGATACGCGAAGAAGCTCTGGACGAGAATCTGGTCATAACCCTCCATGATGACGCATGTTGAGATGACCAGGCACCATAATATGGCCTTGTAGTAGATGCCGAATGCTTGGCGAAACGTCAAATTGTGCTCAATTTCAAGGCCCTCGGCCACGTCTTCGTCGACCGTTTTTGTCGGCAGGTCCAGCATCGCGGCGGTGTGGTGCTGAGCGTCGGAATCCTGCAGCTCGGGAGTATGTAGCAGCGCAGCCCTCTCCTGGGCTGTCCCGATACTTGTGTCCATCTTATGGAAATATTAAAGTCTCAATGATAAAGTCAACGGCTATGCAACCAATCGCACATCAAGGTGCATGAATGCAGTTGCGTGAGGTTCAGAGTTGGGAGGATCATTGGCAGTGGTACGTTTGGCTTCGGGCCCACCAGATGCCCAGGTATTGACAACGTTTCAAACGAAACACTTTCCGGACTATGACGGAACCTTTTCGCCTAAAATGAAGCCACCGGAGTTTCTTGCAGTCCGAGCAGCCTTAACGTTCATGTGACTGTAGGTCAAGTGCGGGAAAGCTTGGGTAACCCAGTAAAGAACGACCAGCCACCCGCAATTCGGTTCGCGGGGATGACGCGCGGGGCAACAGCACGGAAGCCTCCGAAAACCGGAAGAAACAGGGACTTGGGTGGCTGTATGGACTAGCCATCGAAGTTGACGTGATTGAGGCTCGTGGAGCAGTGGGCCTCGCGATCTTTTCTATGTTCTTAAGACATAACTCGAATCTCAAGCCACACGGATATCGGCATGGATATCAAAGCCTGGCTTGTCTTTGTGCGGCATTTGAACCTGCTGCGGGTTGCCATCCGATGTACCCCCGGATGTAGCTCCGATCTGCTGCAGTATGCGACCTGCAACATCGTCGGGCTGCTTTCGAGATTCAATACCCCATCTGAGAAATTTACATCTTATGTCTTCTCATCGAAGCCCTCTCTTCAAGCGTCTTCTACACTTGATGGCAACTATCTAAGTGACACAATACCGATCTTTCCGCGGATACCTTCCTCCTGCGAAACCATTGATCATATCGGGGCAGATCCCGCTTTTACTCCACTCGGAAACGCGCCTCCCCCGCTCTAGCAGCATGGCCCAAACTAACAGTATCTTGAACCGCTGTCGAGGTCTTCTCTATTGAGAATTCAATAGATGCCTATTCATAGCATTGAAGATGCCCCCGAAAGGTGGCTCAAAGCGTGCTCGGCCACCGCGTAAACGTGTGCCCAAAGCGTAAGGGCCTTCCAGCCTCTGTCAATGATGAAGCATATTGCTGACCTGTCTTATCTCCCAAGTTGCACAAGATGTCGCGATCAAAAGATAAGATGCTCCGGGCTTGAGCCGTGCCAGCAATGCACAAAGCGAGACTTGATGTGCCAGTTTCCTGACGAAAATCAGAAAGTACTCGTTACCAGAAAGTAAGTGTGAAATACCAGACTCGAGAAAGGCGGCAAGGTGGTCTAAGCTGTACAGGTACATAAGTGAGCTGCACGACAGATTAGCAGCATATGAGAGGCGCGAGCCGAATGAAGATCCAGTGAGCAGTAACTTGGAAGACTTGATGAGTCCCGAAATGTGTAAGTGTGCAAAGATCAACATTGAATGAGGTATGGATTGCTGAAGGAAATGAACAAGATGGTGAAACGAGCTGCTTCACAGACGATAATTTGGACACAACTCGGCGCTCGTCAGGCCTTGCACCTGCATCACCATCATCATCAAGGGCAGCTACAGCAGCTCAAGAGCCAGGTGATGTGGCCGAAGCGCCCCTGACCAACCCTTTAGCGTTTCATACAATTGACTGGGTCCCGGGACCACATGGAGCACCTGGTTAGTACCTGCATTGAAAGTTGACCACAAAGTACTTACGAATGAGACTCAGTTTTCATGGGAACATCTTCAAATTGGGCTTTTGGACGACGGGTTTTAACAATGACGCATGAAGCTATCACAGGAACGCCTTTGCAAATCGACAACCTGTTCTTCGACGGGAACGTCTACGACTTGAAGTGGAACGGGGGTAGGAGTTCCTGCTCTCGTGACGACTTTTGTCCTTCCAACCTGCCTACTCAGGACTTCGCTATTTATCTGATAAACTCGGTAAAATTTCGCTGTGGCCGCCTATTCTACCTCTTTGACGAAGAAAACTTTATGAAGCAGTTTGCTCTATTCCACGAGCACGGGGCCAACCATCCAGGCCTGTCACGTCTCTGGTGTGTGCACTACCTCATTCTCCTGGCGTTTGGGAAAGCATTTGTGGTGCAAACTACGAGATCTCAAACTCCTCCTGGCTTAGATCTTTTTGTCCATGCCATGAAGATTATGCCGGACTTCACGTTTTTCGAATGCGACTTTGTTGAAAAGATACAAGTTCTCTGCTGTGCAGCACTTTACTTGCAATGCCTCAGTTGTCGCACGTCGGCGTACCGGCATGTGAGTTGACATCTACAAAGTTTAGTGGTGGGAAACTGACATTCACAAGATATCCCAGGCTGTAAGCTTAGCACTTGAAGGTGGAATGTATACAGAGATGCAAGGGCAATACTTGGACGAAGCCTACGTCCAGAAGTGCCGTTTGATGTGGTGGACCCTTTACGTGCTGGAGAGGCATATGTCTACTCTCCTTGGTGTTCCCATGTTCATCCACGATGAAAACATATGTACGCCTTTCCCTGCCCGCCCCGATCAGGGACAGAGGACAAGTGTCATGCACATCCAAGTGAAGTTGGCGCAAATTCTCGGGCAAATTCATCGCAGTAGGTCGTCGCCCCCTTATGTGAATGTACTCCCGGCGCTTATAATTCATAGGTGTTTACGGCATTGACGGGCAACTGGACAGTCGCTATCTAAGCGCCACAAAATCGCTACTTCAAAGCATAGCTAATGTGGCTGGCCAGCTCAATGAGCTCTTTGACATCGATTCCAGCGAGAACACATCAGGCGTGTCGCGTGTGTCAGCACACCTTCATCTCCAATATCACCAATGCATCGTGCTCACGACGAGGCCACTCTTATTCATCTTCCTACAGTCGAGACTCGGCCAGTCTCATACAACCCCGTTACGTTGGGCGCAATCTGAAAGTGTCAAAGGTCTTCTCCAAGTTTGCATGGAGTCTTGTTGTCAGAGTATCAAGATTCTATCGAGACTACTCAACCAAGGCCTGCTGGGTAAGCTGTCTGCCATGAAGAATGTTCTCATTGTTGACTATCAATCTAGAAAGCTTCTTGACTTTTGATCTTGATGCGACGTTTACAGCAGCCATTGCCATATCCATGGGTGCCGCCATTGATCCTTCGCTGGTCCCAGACCATGCTCAACTGACCCAACGAGCTCATGCTCTGTTCGATGAGATGAGTTCACATGGAAGCAAAATTGCGACGATGATCGCATCAGAGCTGAAGCAACTCGACGGATATTTGAGCCACCTTCAAGTCGACGGCGCTGAGATCCTGCCCGTCCAAGATTTTCGCTCCGATGTCATGGCACAAATGACCCCCGGCGGAACATTAGCCGGTGCTCCGGAATTGGGCATGGGGTTCACGGATGACATTGACTTTGGCTTGCATTTTGAATTGAGCACTGAACAGCTCATGCAGCTGGCTAATTCTTTGGACGTCGATAGCTTAAGTCGGCCTTTGTCAGCGGATCATCACGGAACGTAGCTGGCTAAACGGGACAAGAGATATTCCAGTCACGTAATAAGATTTCACAAGAATCTGACTTCATGAAATCGAAAACGCGCTAGTGTTCGTAAATATTCCGGGAGGAGCCATCAAAGAATGGGCAGAGGGCAGTAAGTCGCGGTCCCTTGTTCGGGGCTTTCCATGTTTCAGACGCTTGGCGAATGCCAGAAGAGCTGTGGATATTACCGGATAAGGTCATTTGAGACTTCTCAGTTCCTTTGGAAAGGGCTCAGAGGGTTGAGAACGTTCGCAGAATGTGACCCAACTTAGTCTTTCCCATCTGAGACTTGATTCAGTTTCCGATCAACGTAAAACAATAGACTTGAGTTGCATTTTTGTGTCCCCTTAGGCTCCGCCATGTGGTCTAACTTGTGGAACGCCAGAACGCCCCATCACCCTTCTTGATTTGCCACCATACAGTTATATCATTGACCACCTGATTACGTATCCGAATTCTGTCCTTCTCGTCAATTTCGAATATGGAACTCGTGCAATGATCATTTGGAAGCTGAGAGCAAGATACCTGACACTTCTGGTACCTGATGACTATAGTCGTTTTCTGCTGATGCTTCCTGATTGAAAACCCTCAGGTGTCGCAATTCTATCAGAAGAGGGTTTGGCAAGGGGTGTATTTGGGTGTCCAAGATGTCCACATTTCACCTCAGCTCAGCTCAACTTGGTGATCCAAGTTGTCGGTGAGTCCGTCTGCGTTCCGTCAACAACAATTCCACAGATGCGCGTAAGGTATTCTGAATGGCATGTTCGCATAAGCCTTCCCAAACCATCAGCAAATATGTCGCGCTCGTAAAGCTTGGCCAAGAGGCTACCTACTAGAGGACAAGTTTGATATACCAGGCTCAATCAACATAAAAGAAGGCTCTTGAGCCGCATTTTCTCTCATGGGCCATCTCCAATTCAACACATCCTTCCAACCCTTTACTGCCTTTTTCTCTCGCCATGAAATCATCCACTATTCTAAGCATGGCCTTGCTTGTGCCAAGTTTTGCCTCTGCGGCGATCTGCAACAACAACTGTGGCCGCGCGGTTGCGGGTACAGTCAGAAAGGACCCTCCTTTTGCTTCCAGGTCATCTCTTTGTGCAGCGTTCGTGACAGCTGCGGTTCAGTAATTCAGAAGCATTCTGTGACATCAGTTTTCAAGATTTGTCCAAGAGGTTGACTGGTGACATAGACCGATTATCGGCAGAAATGTGCATGTTCGCCGCCAGGACGCCCCTGAACCCGTAATCACGGGCATCAAGCCTGCCTACGCCAGCTCCTGCCCAGATATCACAGCCTATTGGTCTGCATGCCAATGTATCGAAGGCATCCAGGCCACCGCCATCACGGTTTCGGGTACCCGAACCACGCCCGTCACCAGCGCCTCTATTACAACTATTCTCTCTCCTAGCGCCACAGGCTCTATAGAGGAATCAATTGTTTCTAGCAGCTCTAGGTCTTCTACCATCTCAGATGACTCAGAGACAGCCATCGTGGAACCCTCTACTTCCTCGGAACCTTCCACCTCCTCGGAGCCCTCTGATGTTACCACATTGGAGCCATCCCGTACTTCGGATACCTCCGACACGGTCACTCAAAATCCCACCAGCTTCATCACATCTGAACCGGCCAGTTCCTCATCAACCGATGGTCTGATCCCTGCCACAACAAGCATCTCATCCGCCCCCAGCTTGCCGCTTTGCACGCCAGGTCTTGAGTTCGCCATCTACACCTTTGAGCCACGCTCTCCAGAGTGCCGAGGGGTGTTGTACACGTCTCCATCTCGCGCCATCGACCTTGGAGAACTTCTCATGGGCCGCACTCCCGACGCCACTGGCTTAACACCTGGCTATGGCACAATCGGCTTGCGACGAAGCAGTGCTCAGGCCTCTGGTCCTGTCGAGTACAACGGCGTCCGGGGCCCGGAAAACTCCACCTTCGAGTGCAACGTCATTCAACACCGCGGTTATATCGAGGTCACCGCTCCTGGCACCTACAGCGTTATTCCCGAAACTCCTGACGATGTCATTCTCATTTGGGTCGGTAACAATGCTCGAACTGGCCAGTTTTCTGCTAGCAACAGCAACAAATCTGGCCGCTGTTGCAGCACGCCGAGCCCTTACAGCTTCACCGTAGAGCCATTTGATGGGCTGTTCGAGTACATCCCTTACCGAATCTTCTACGCCAACGCGGCTGGCCCTGGTGGTTTTGGAGTGAGGGTGGCGGGCCCCGGGGGCATCATTGACCCGTTCGTCGTTGCGAACTGCACTGGAGAGGGCAACCCTGCTCCTAGTTCGTCTGCATGGCAGTTTGAAGACTACGCTTCGAATTAATCCAACAAACTGATAAATGGCTCTTCAAATACATCCCAACACAAGAGAATTCAACAGGGGGGAATGAATTTGATGGGATATTTAGAATTAAGATGTACTTGCAAGACTATGGGAGCGGTCAGTGGGACTAAGTAGCATGAATCATCGAATGGCCCGGTCAATGTCCAAATTGCCCCTGTGTCTCTACACTTGCATTCGTACTCCAGTCACTGGCCAGTTCTTTTCCAAAGCTTTGGCATCGATCCTTCCTTTCCATATACTGGATCAAGTTCTGGGCCAGGCACACGCTCACACATCTCTCGCTTCTTAGCGGTCTCCTCTTCTGAATCTAAAGCGTACTCCATGTCGTAAGGCTCTTCTACTGTGTTGAAGCCGGTCTGCTGACTGTTAAGATCACCCTGAACTCCACAGGTTCTCGACCCCAGCCCTGCAACTTACCAATGCATAGAACCCGATGATCTCATAGTCATCTTGAGTGTCGGTGACGAAGTGCGTCACCCCAGCCTAGTACAGTTAGTCAGACGTACGTGTAAGGTATCCATGAAGATAGGCGTCAACCCACCGGCCAAGCGAAGACATCCCCAGGACGAGCCACAAACTTAACGCCGACGGCGTTTCCGTGCTCGTCAAAGTCCGCATCCAGGGGCGACTTGCCAAGAAGGTAAGTGCCTGTGCCATGCAAGACGGTGTACGCCTCGTGAGTGGTGGCATGGTAGTGTGGAGTAGCAGCAAGCTTCTCGTTGGCAATCTTCCAGTGTCCACCTCTTATCCATTGGTTTGATTGGAGGACTTCCATTGCGGCTTCGTACGATCTGTCCGCAAGCGCGTTCCTGTATACGACGACGGGAAGGGTGGAGTTTGGGGAATGCGGGGTGGCAGGGACGTAGAAGGTCTCGGGGGTTGTTTGGTTCACGGCCATAGTGGTTGATACTCAATCGAAAGAGGCGATATTCTTGAATGTTTTTGCTAAATGTGGTTGCCCTGTGCTTGTTTACAAAATCCGAGACTCAATCTTTGGGTGCTTGCTGCTATGACTTTTATCTATGTGAGCTGTCTTACTCTTCACTCAAAGGATTGTCAATCTTCGGCTTCAAAGTCCGTACTGAAAATCTTTATTACCCAAGAACTCGGTGTGGTTTCTTTGGTTGCAATTATTTGGTGTGCAATCGGATGCGGTTGCCGATGGGAATGTTATCCCCGAGAGCGTGATCTTAGAGACCCTTTCCACAGAAGTAAACTCCGTGTTTTCCAGTTCGTGAGCGGCGTAAATGGCGTATCCGAAGATTTCGGATAAGATTTTATTGGTCGAGATCATGCTAATCCCAGATCGTAACAGCACCCAGTGTTCGCTCATAGCGGCTGTCCGTGCCGGTGGGATTGGTGATCCGGCGTATTTGGCGTATCAGTAACCAAAGGCAGGGGGAATTGTGTGAAGTCAGATTATCTCTACCGGAATAGAAGCCAAGAATTGCTTGTCAAGAAGCATTCATGGTCATTGCACACCGAAGCAGGTAAGGAAAATCACGTTGCAAAACATCTACAAGCTCGTGAAACGCATGTCCGTGCTGATAGTGCGAAATTGGCATTCAGATATTCGCAATGCGGTGCTGGGTCGTGTTCTATTTTGTCTGGTTGGTGTTATATCTATGATACAGCTGGAATAACATTTGCATCACCATATTAAATTTTTTCAGTGTGTGCACTCAAACTTATTCTTCGACACTGATTACCCATGGGACAAATACGTTGCTCAAATGTGCTGGTCCAAATTACCAAGTCTTGGAGACTTGATCTGCTTGAATTTGACGTTGTTGTGTTACCACAACTGTACATACGTAAGGAACCTTCTCCATCTAGACATCTTGTAGTAGTCATCCAGCTGGTTTATCTCTTCAACACTCAAGTTGCGCCGACCGGTGACACAGTCAGCTGTGTTCGGGTCTCTCCACGGAGTGCGGTAGATAACCTTGTATCCTATGGTGAACACGACGATGACGAGAAATCCGATCATGTATTGGAAGAAGTTCTCCGCGCTGAACGAGTCGCTTCCCTAAAACCACACACTCATGATTAGCTCTGCTTGGAAACTCTGAGATCAAACGTCACGGCCTATGTGAAGGCTAACAATGTACACTTACAATAGGGTCGATACCGCAAACCAGGCAGCATGCCAAAAGCAGCAGCGATATGAGCATGAGCCAAGCCGGTGCCAGAGGCCAGGCTGTGGACTTCCATGCATAAACTTGGGAGAAGAGCGGGTCGTTCTGTGCCTTGAGTGCAGCGTGGAAATGCCAGTTTGTGAACGAGATGATGATCCAATTAGTGAAGAATGAAGCACTCGTGATGGAAATCAGCCAGTTCAAGACGGTCAAGCCACCGGCTGTGAAGGATGGTTAGCAATACATCGAGGTTAGAGGGACCACCAGAGACAGGGTTGACTCACATGCAAGCTGGATGTATGACATGATGAGCGCAGCGATGCACGTAATGAGCAGTGCCCATCTTGGTCTTCCCTTATTATCAACCTGGGCAAGCCGCTCGGGGAGAAGCTTCTGATGAGCCATCGTCCTCAATATTCTTGAAGAAAGGTAGACTGCTTCTGCAGCAATGGCCAAAACACCACACATCATTCCAGCATTGAGCAAAGACGAGATGCCTTTGATACCGGCATCTTCAATGGCAACAACGAACGGCGACGCTGCAACGCTGCTTCCGCCGAGTAACCTCTCATCGCTTGAGGGGACAAGAATCGTGATGAAGACGACGCTGATCATGTAGATAAAGTTGACCCGAAACGGCACAAGCTTCGTTGCATGGGCCATCGAAAAGCGCGGGCTAGCTGCCTCACCGCCCATGATGCCGATGAAAACTTGATCACCAACCGCCCAAACCGCAAGCAGCGCACAGTTCGCAAAGCCCTAGTGTGAATCAGATTGTGTTCTCGTCGTCAGAGATCCTCGTTGCTCACCGTAAATCCGTTTAGGAACGCCGGCAATTCAGTCCAAGTCTCGCCATGATGAATACGACCATTCGGGCCAGCACCCAAGACCAACGCAAGCGACAGGACAATAATGATGAGGAAGAGAAAGATCTTGATGATTGAGGTGACGTATTCGAACCAAGCGAAGGCGCTGTTTGGTAGGAGGAAGATGATGAAGCATGCGACGAGGAAGAGTGATACTTTCAGATAATGTTTGTTAGTTGTTTGTCGCAGGGGTGGAGAAAGTCGATGTGGACCGCACCAGTTCCCGCCAGTGGAAACGAGTCTCCAGCCCATAGTGAGATCAACACGTGGAAGAAACCTGTCTCTGCGGCGACGATAGCAGTCCATCCTTCACATCATTAGCAAACAACCGAAGGCTACGTATGAAGGTGGACAGAAACCAACCAAGCCATTCAGCAAAGCCGGCACCAAAAGCAAGCGCTGGGTCAACCCAACGATCGGCGTAGTCAATGTAGTTTCCAGATACGGGGAAGGCGATAGTCATCTCCGACAGTGATTGGAGGACGGCCCAGACACAGCTGCATACCATCAGATAAGCGAGCACCATGTTGCCTGGACCGCCTGTTGCAAGCGCCTTCCCAGTCGCAATAAAGACTCCGCTGCCAATATTCGATCCCAGTGAGATAATCTTAGGTGTAAGTTAGTAGGTATGCGCCAAATTGTGCAAGACAAGCAGTGCTTCTGACATGGACTTGACGTGGAGTAAACGAGCGGTGAAATTGACCGTTCCGATCCTCCTGCAGTTGCGTGTGGCCCTCGACCACGCTGTTTGTCGGATGTAGGCTGCCATTTCCAGTCTTTTCGGTGCCGAACTTTTCGTCCGCAGCAATTGGCGGAGACTCGTTGGAGGCGGTCATGGTATCGGATGTGTGCTCTTCACGTGGCTCGGTGGGGGTTGCGCGCATGCGAAAAGCTGCGTCTTGGGCTCTTGAAAAGTCAAGTGAGTTCAAACGAGCTGCATGAGCTCGGAACTGCAGGGCGATTGCCAGTTATGTATTCCGAGATTGCGTGTAGGCAATCAGCACGAAATGGACTGATGCCAAGCGCAATAAGCCAACCAATGTCCCCCTGATATCTCTGGTATCTTGGAATAATGCGTGCTCCCTGTCTATCAGCTATCTGCCAAGCTGATAATGAACAGGCAACCCTTGTTTAGCTTCCTTGTCAAACCTCAGCTTCTGCAGATAAAGACCCGCTTTCCCCGCGTTTCCACCCTCCCCAGCAAGCAGTTGGGTTCACGCGATAGCATCACGCTACGGGAAACGCATCCGATGAGGGCTCCATCGCCGATGCAAGCGTAATCACCGAACCTACCCAAGCAGCTCCGTCTTCGACAATCCGGGCAACCGTGGTTGGTTACTCTCATCGTCCACTATGGTGGGCAGTCGGATGCGATGACCGTGAGACTGATGTTTGAGACAGGTTCGGATCTGTTATCCAGGCGCATTCATGCTGTCCAGTGTTTATCAGTAAGGTGTAGGCATTTTGTAGGTAGGCAAGTCAAAGATAAATAAGACCATCTTCGTGGATTGATAAGGTCAATACCTTTCCAACAACTAAGAAACCTCGTCCGATCATTCAGCCACATCACCCGGCAACCTCAACGCACGATATCAATCAGAACATGCCATCCTACGTTGACAACCGTCCCCTGGACGTCATCATTGTTGGGGCAGGTTTCGGCGGCTGCTACCTTCTCCGGAACTTAAGAAAACAAGGATTTCGGGCCCAGATCTTCGAGGAAGGCCATGGTCTAGGCGGCGTCTGGTGGCACAACCGCTACCCTGGCGCTCGCGTTGATACCGACACTCCCTACTACGAATTCTCCGACCCCGAAATATGGAAGGAATGGGAATGGGCTGAGAAATACCCCAGTCAGGCCGAGATGGTCAGGTACTTCGAGTTTGTCGACCAGAAGTGGGACCTCAGCAAGGACGTCACCTATGGTGCTAGGGTGACTGACGCTACTTTCGACCCCCAGGCCAACGACTGGACGATTCAAACGGACAGTGGCCTCACAGCCACAGCACCCTTTCTCCTACTTGCGATGGGCTTTGCTGCCAAGATGTACGTGCCGAACATCAAGGGGCTCGACACCTTCAAGGGCTTCTCATGCCATACGGCCCGTTGGCCAGACCATCACCTCGACTTGTCGGGGAAGAAGGTTGGCATCATCGGCACCGGTGCGACTGGCGTCCAACTTGTCCAAGAGCTCGGCCCCACTGCAGAAAACCTCGTTGTCTTCCAACGGTCGCCTAACTGTGCAGTACCCATGAGACAGAAGTCCCTAGCACTAGATCCCCCCATCAAGACCGGATACCCAGAACTTTTCTCTCAGATGAAACTTTCTAGAGCCGGCTTCACCTACCCCATCATTAACAGAAAAGCCATGGACGATACGCCAGAACAACGGAGAGCTTTATTCGAGCAACTCTGGGATATCGGAGGCTTTGCACCCACTCAAGGAAATTACATGGACTTTAGCACCAACCTGGAGGCGAACCACGAATTCTACTACTTTTGGCGGGACAAAGTGCGGCAAAGACTCCTCACAGATGATGCTGAGTTGATCGAGAACCTCGCTCCTGAGGAACCTCCGTATCCTTTTGGTACGAAACGTTCGTCTTTGGAGCAGAACTTCTACGAGGTCTTCAATCAAGACAACGTCAGTTTGGTCTCATTGAAGAAGAACCCAATTGAGAAGGTCATTCCGGAGGGAGTGAAGATGTCTGACGGGACTATCCACAAGCTTGACGCTCTTCTTTTGGCCACCGGTTTTGACGCCGTGACCGGAAGCTTCACTCGAGTCAACATTCGGGGGCTCAAAGGAAGACTTCTCAATGACGTTTGGAGCAGACGAGCACGCACATTCCTGGGCATGAGCACGTCAGGATTCCCAAACATGTTCTTCCTCTATGGTCCTCAAAGTCCCACCGCGACTGCGACAGGACCAGTCGTCTCAGAGATACAAGGCGACTGGATCATTCAGGCCTTGGTCCATTTAAGAGAGAACGGATACACTCGCATCGATGCGCAATCTGATGTCGAGGAACAATGGGGTCACTGCGCTAATGATATTTGCAACGGGACACTTCTTCCTCAAAATAAGACGTCTTGGTACATGGGTGGAAATATTCCAGGAAGAACTCGGCAGGCGCTCAGTTATATGGGCGGCCTGCCAGCGTATCGCTGTGCTATCAATGAGTGTTCCTCGGATGGCTTTGCCGGGTTCAGCATGCAATAGAGTGTAAGATAGACTAGTTAATAGCAAATACATTCACCAACGCCTTCTTAGTAAAACACGCTTGAGTCTTGTTTGCTTCATCTATGTATTTTACTGTACTACCAGCGTCTGTTCCATAGTGCGCTCAAGCCTGCGAAGTGTTATGCAGAACAATCCATGCAGTGCGTTCCTATGCAGCTATGTGTGTACTACGAGGGAAAAATATTTAGTAAAGCTGTTTGAAGATTGTGAATGTATGCTTATTTGAATCAGGTCGACTCGATGAACTTGAGCACATTGGCAGGGACAGGAACGATGAAGGGGGTGGTAACAATGATTTAGACGAAATAGGTTTAGTATTGCAGTGACTATGTGTATGGACAGCCTAGACAGCCTAACCCTTCATCATTCAGGGAGAAACATGGGTAGACTTATGGATGCAGGTACATTTGCGAATGTACTGCTCCTGCCTCCTTCATCAGACGCTTCTGGAAGCAAGTCTTATGCTAATCATGCCAAGATCCAAAGCACCCAGAGCAAGTCATGAGAAACAGCACTGCAGCAAGTCAGCAGCAAGCGGGGCACTTCTCGCGGAAACTGGAGGCTATTCAGCATAAGTGCTGGTTGTTTCGCGATATCAAGCTTCGGCTGAGACGAAAACGAAACGACTCGGAATCGACAAATCGAGCAACGCACCAATCGTATCGCTCATTCGGTGCAGCAGTTCAGATGTTTTGACTTGCCAACGGGGACTTTCGTTGGCTCGGTCCATCTGATGAGCCCATCAGTACCCCTCATCTGATCTCATCATCGCACGGACAATACGTCGGTATCGGCCGCGTTGCTCTTAGGACATTTCTCGGTGACAAGGTCTCGGATTTGATTGGATGAAAGTCGCATGAGCTTGATGTGTGGTTGGCCACTGTTCATCTCGAAAGCGAGGCGAGTCAACATGGCCTAAGGTTTATTTCGCCATTTGACCCCGAGGCACTCGCAGTGTGTGGTGGAAACTCTCTTTTGGTGTTACGATGACCCATATATGAAGTGGTATCCGTCCCTTTTGATCTTCTCGCAGCCGCAATGCGATGCCCGGACCGACCACGACGACGGTCGTAGGTAATGCGACATGAGGCTCCTCGACGTCACCATAAGCACTATCTTAGCCGCTTGCTATCTCTTCGGACTGGCAAGCGGCTTTGTGGCAGATTTGTCTCTTCTTGCCTTCGCAGGCACTCCTGTTGGACAGGTAATCAACTTCAATGGGCGTAAGTTACTGATGCGGCACACTACTTCGTGGCTTCCATCTTAACAGTGAGAAAGTGGACATATACGTATCCAAACCGAAGGAACAGTCAGGTAGCAATGGCATGCCCGCTCAAGGCAAACCAACGGTTGGCATCGTCCACTTGACAGACGTGTTCGGAATTCAGTCAACAGAGAACAAACTGTATGTGTGACATGGAGTCAAAGTCGTTCCAGTACAATTTGATCAAGCAACTAACTGTGATGCAGTCTCACAGACAGTTTCGCGCGCGCTGGCTACGTCACAATCATGCCCGATCTCTTTAATGGAAAGCCACGATCCGAGGATCCAAAGTCCGGCTTCAACGCGACCGAGTTCTTCGGATCGCACGGACCGAGCGTCACTGATCCTATCGTCACCACGGCACTCTCATATATGCGCGACCAGATGGGTGTGTCAAAAATTGCAACAGTGGGATATTGTTTCGGCGGCAGGTACGCATTCCGTGCGCTGGGATTCCCTCAAGGCAAGGCGGTGAACGCGGCATTCGCTGCTCACCCGACTTTGCTAGGTGATGATGAGATCAAAGCAATATCAGGCCCCGCTAGCTTGGCCATCGCTGGTGAGTAGACTCGGCAATGTCAACAATGGAGTTCCTTGATGTCTGATTCAGTGAGCAGAAAAGGACACGGGTATGAAAATACAAAGAAGGATTGAGATTGAAATGGCTATGGCACGCACTGGTCAGCCATGGACTATGAACTTGTATGGGGGTGTTCCGCATGGATTTGCAACCCATCCCAATCTTGATGTACCTGTTGAAAAGGCTGGCAAGGAGGATGCGTTTCTACAAGCAGTTCGGTTCTTTGAATCCTGGGTTTGAGCGAGCATGAACAAGTTCAGCGCCTGAAAACAGCTTGCTAGAATTGATGACTACCGACCACCAAAACAAGCACCTCCTGTAGCAGTTAACCATTTCCGCGTGGCTGGCCAAGAGAGTGTGGACAGATCTTAATGACATGACGAAACGTGGGGTTTCTCGTAATTTGGCGTCCATGACCCAAAATGGACATGTCAGCCACTTGCATGACATAGCTAAACAGAAGCTGTTAGCCTCAGCACTTGCACATTTTGAATGAGAACGTCGTCGAACGTGTCTTGTATCCCTGATTTGGTGGCAACTGGTGTTGCTTGGTGTCAGCGGGCTGCATTAGCGTGTCATTCCAGAAAACGGGTCTCGGTGGAGCCAATCATGGTTCGTCTCAATGACGGAGCATTCCCATATTGCACTCAGAGACGTGATAATTATTCGTAAATTCAGACAGCGAAATGAGCCCATGAAATATTTAAGTAGACTTGAAATCGCCAGAAAAGGCTTGTGTTCTTCAAACTTTTCACTCTCTTCGCTGTAATTACCACACTAAAATGACGTCTTCTTTCGCCGACAGAGTTATCGTCGTTGCTGGCTCTGCCTCAGGTATGGGGCTCGCTACCTCGAAGACTCTCATCTCAAAAGGGGCAAAGGTCGCAATGTGTGACTTGAACGGCAAAAGTCTCGAAAATTTCAGAAACCATTTGGATCCCGAGATTCAACGCCGAGTCCTCGTCAAGTCTGTCGATGTCATCAGTCGTCAAGGCGTCAAGAGCTTCTTGGCAGAGACCATGGCACACTTTGGAAAGATTGACGGTGTTGCCAACTTCGCAGGCACTGGTGGCCATGAACTTGGAACCCAATCCATCTGGGAAACAAGCGATGAAGAATTTCAATTCATCGTTGACCTCAACATCAAAGGGGCATTCAATTTCCTCGCTGAGTCACTCAAACCCGGCGTGTTGACCGATGGCGGGAGTTTTGTTCATGTCGGTAGTATGTTCTCAACTCAGGGGTTTCTTAGAGGTGCTGTCTTTGCTGGTTCCAAACATGCCTCATTAGGAATGGTGCGGAGTGCAGCCAAGGAGGTCGTTGGTAGAGCCAGAGTCAACTGTGTGCTGCCGTAAGTTGCCCTTTTTCCAAACTGCTTCTAGACGGGGCGTCGGAATAAGATGTCTGATACTGAAAGCTTGTAGTGGCGCGATTGATACTCCAATGCATCGGGCCAATCTTGAAAGGGTACAAGACTTCCCTGCACCGACATTGGTTGGCGATGCGCAAGAAGTTGCAGACGTCACAGTTTTCCTCCTCGGTGACAAGAGTACTTTTGTCAATGGCGCCGCCTGGAGTGTTGATGGCGGCGCTGGGCTTTGAACCTCATGGCATTTATATGTTATATTCCGCAAAGAGGTTTCGGGCCCTCATCCCAAACTTTGATTGTAGATCAGACCTCGAGACTTGGTGTAGGAAAAGCTGAGCTTTGTGTGTTTTCGTCAACTAAGTTACATCACTTCAGAGGGCAATTGTCTCAATTCAGATATCCCCAGTGGACAACGTTAATTAAGCCTATGATCGTTATAAATGAATGTGTCATGATTTGTGCGGGAATAGAAATCATCGAAGGTCATAAGTGTTTATTCGCGTCCGCTGCTTTTCACGCGTCGATCATCTTGATGCTGGTTCATTGCCTCCGTGCCCATTCATGCCCCTTTCGATTTATGCGCTTAAACGGTAACGTTGTGAACCTCATCGCCGATCAAGAAGACAGGCTGCTTGTTGCTGTAGTTGGGAACATCCTGCATGATCTTGGCCGTGTCGGCTGAAGCAAGCGCCCTCTTGACTGACTCGACGCTGTCCCACTGGAGGATGCCGGCAAAAGCGTACTTGGGCTCCGCGCCGTCAGGGCCAGGGGCGTACTTGGTGACAGACCAGCTGGTCACGCCGAACGCCTTCCATGTCGATCCGGCGAGGGGCATGTGCTTGTTGATGTAGTAGTCGATGTCGTACTTGGCATCGGGCTCGTTGGGGTAGAGGACAGTGACGGTGGCGGGCATTTTGACCGTTTGTTGGGTTTGGGGAGCTTAGAGTTGAGATGGGAATGTTGCTGGTTTGCGACTGAGTTGTACGTTGACTGTTGCGGGTCACTTTATCCGTGATCTGTCTGGGACCCGAGCGATATAAATATCGCCCTCCAGTTGGTCCCCTCACTGACGTAACTGAGGGACCATGCTGCAACGGAGCCCCGATTACCAATCGGCTCAACTGTTTGCCCGTGGTTTTGTTCTAGCCTCCGTGGATTCCGGTGGGAATGGTGCCCTAGACAAGGAAGATGGTGGAGACCTTTTCGGCTTTTATCAGACGAGCTCTGTGCTTCGTCGGAGACAACCCTCGCGAGCCGCGGCATCTCGACGGCCAGCGGACTGGAAAGAAGCCTAATAAGTGGGACCTCTACCACAAATACGACCCTGAAAAGACGAAGCACGCTGAGACTGGTGGTTGACGACAAGGATTGCAGAGCAGACCTTTGAGGTTGAATTCTAGTACATCTCCGCAGGGGACCTGATAGCGCCATGTTCGCATCCAGATCGAACGTCTTCTGTGACGGCGGGGTGATCGTAACAATGCAGCCAAGAAGGCTCCTCTGAAGTTCGTCCAAGAACTGAAAACGTCGCAGTAAGCTTACGCCGTTAGCTGTTTTACGCGTTGTTTTCCCAGATCAGAAGGTTTCGACGAGGTCCTTGGCGATATTTGCCCTCATCCATGTCGCAGACGACAACTCATCATTTGCTGACATCTGTTTTGATGGTAAACCACATGACTTGGTCTCTCATTTGACTTGTCGAGACTCGAGTGCTATCTGTCCTGGGCTATGACTGCATGGCTGAACTTCGGACTGATAGGCCGGCTCGGAAAGTAGTGTTTCCATGATCACCCAAAGTCCGATAGTGCTGATACTTTTCTGACAGCTACAAGCGGTGCCCGGTCGGTTTTAGTCTGGGCATTGCGGGATGAATTTGATGTCAGCGAGGGAATGGCGGAGGACCCCTCACTTCAAATTTGCCAGAATAGACCTCAGTCATATCATGACTGGAACCAAATAATAGTAGTCCAATGTCTGCTCTCTGGGCCGGTCATTCGTTTTTTTCTTTTCCTTTGGAGTGAGAGCACTCGACATCGTGAAATGTTTCCATGGACTGAATTTAAAGGCGCAATCACATGTTCAAAGAGGCAGAACAAACAATAATCGGCCACATAATGAGGCGATTTTCGACACAATCACAGAATATGCTGTTGTTTGCTGTAAGGTGAGCCGTAGTGGTCTCTTGTCAGAGATGAAACACTGTAAATCTCTCATAGTATGCAAGTGACGGCTCCAGTCCGCCGGCAAATTAACTCGCCATGTGAGTGCCTTTGCAATAGGTGATCAGGCAGCCCTCCTGCTGAGTTTCATCAAGCATACTGCTGCAAACAATACGGATTGGCAAAGCCTTTACAGACGGAATCACTTGCTTAGACATCTTGCCAGTCATACAAACAGTCCTCCACTCGTTCGTCTGGTTTGCTCACTACATTTGACTCCATACTCTGTGACTGACCTCGACGCAGCATGCTCACTCACAGTCCTTGATCAATGACGAACTGTTGGCATTGAGCTTCAAGCCATATAAATACATGGTCTATCTGCTAAGGACGCTGTTCTTTCACTTCTCCTCTCTTCAACACACAAAACACACTTACTAGAGTTGGCTCAAATCTCCGATAATCGTAAGTTTCGGTATCTTTCACATTACAGCTTGACAGACCAAGATAACTACGCAATGGGAGGTCGCAGATTTCATAAGGATTCCCAGATGGTATTCCAAGACAAGTTCGAAGACCTGAACTTGCAGTCTCCGTGGACTTGTTGCGGGTGCAAACGGCGAAATGACCCACCGACCGTGCCGCTCATCAAGTGTCGCAACACACGCTGCTCTCATATGGGGCCCTGCGAGGAATGTTTACGCCTGTATTGGTAGAAGATCATCTAGTGGCTCGGCTCAGGTTTGAGAAAGAACACAGGATCTCGCGATAGCAGTCTTGAGGTTAGTTGAATGATGGATCCACGCTCATATTTGATGGAGGGCAGTTTAGTCAGTAGTTTTTCGTAATGGAATAATCAGTTGAGAACAAAAGCATTATTAGAAGAGCCGGGAGTTTGGACGCTAAAGCCGACATTGAGTCTTTGAATGTCTGGTATCTCCAACGAATTGCTCGTTCACAGGACAGTTTGGTCTATGGCCTGCTGCTTGCAACTTCAAGCTTAAGAAGTTACTTCTAGTGGCCTGCGAGGAGCATCATAAAGAGACATTACTCGGATGGGTGGGGGTGTTCAATTTTCGTTGACATACTGCACAATGTGGACAGCCTTTACTGATGAAATTGCGGTCAACCGGTGTGGAATGATCCAGAGCTACCTCCGTGTTTTAACGATGTTGGCAGTGGTTTGCAATCACACTTGAACACTGGAATGATGCAGCTTGTTTGACATGGGTACCTCAGTCTTGCAAGCTGCGAGCCAGGGTCTGGTGTCTGCCAACAACCTCGGAAACTTGCCTTAGACTTGGGCATCTCGTGGAGTCGAAGAAACTAATGATCGCCAACAATAAACCGTGGATGAATAGCCCGTCAGCCATCTTGTCGAGAGTACATCTAGGCTGCAATACAAAAGTACAATGCAGGGCTCCAGTTTTCTCCATATTCTCTCAATCAAAGGGTCATTTTCGTCAACAAAACATGCCGATCTTCTCTAAGCCCCCACGTAGACTAACCACAGCCCACCCAAAGTCCCATTCCACGAGATAATAAAGCGCGCTCCTTTCCCACCACAGGTCTCTACACACAGAAATATCACCTGCACTCTGATATTCACTCCCGCCAGCTTGGCTACAGACTCAACCTGCCTACAAACTAACGATTTCATCATGGGTAACCCATTCGAAGACAAAGCCGAACTCGGCTCATCGGCACCGGGCGTGGCTCCACCCGCCTACACGCCGTTCGACACCGCCGCTTCATCGTCGTCATCGTCCGCAACCCAAGGGCCGTTCCAAATGAGCCCCTCCACCACGCCCTACCAGCAATTCCCCTCATCCATGAGCGCATATTACCAATTGAAGATCACGCGTACCTTCCATCTGGGCGACAGCAACAACCACAAGCTTTTCGCGGTCTCCTCTTGGAGCGGGACCAGCAGCAAGAGCCCTGGCATCCCCTGCATCATCCTGCACAACGGACCAAACCCCGAGGACCCTGTTCTGGCTGTGTGTTCTGATGAGAAGAACTGGTCGCCTTCGGCCAACTATCCCCGAACTTTGCACAGCTCCATGATTCTGCCATCTCTGGAGCCATATCTCTCTGGAAAGGGAAAGGAAGAAAAGCACGCGACGGAGGACCTGCGACCGGTGATCTTCAACGGCAGCCACGTCGACTCCTTCCGGTTCTCTATCGAAGTTCCGCAGCCTGATGACCAGGCCGGGACCAGCAGATTGCTGCGCGAAGACTTTGAATGGAGGAGGACGAGTAAGGATGGGTTGAATGGGTACAACAACGGGTTCGAGCTGCTCCGTCTCAAGTCCGATATCCCGCCCGAAAAGACGAGCAGTGACGTTGGTGGTAGCGACCCCAAGGGTGAGGCTCTAGCTGCTATTCTTTTCAAGGGGTCTTTGAGTGTAAACAAGCCTTTCTACTTCGAATTCAAGGGTAAGGGTTTGACCGGGGAGCTGGGAGACAGGTGGTCTGTAATGGCTATCATGACAGGAATCAGAATCTGGTTTTTGTTCTTCGCGCATAGGGCGAAATAAGATTTGACGGGGACAGAAGGCTCCTCCTCTTCGATAAAAGCATGGCGTTCGTACTGAAAAGGAACTCCAAATCAGCAGCATCCACGGAAGTCTGTTGAGGGAAAGGGCATATAAATGAGCGTCACTACCCAAGTTGATTTCGCCAACCAATTTTTGTCGTGTAGTCCATCTCCTCAGATCTCAACATCATTAGGTTAGTCACAGAACTCTTTCGGCATCTGTTCAAACAACATCCATTATTCTAACGCGTCGGCATCCGTTATCGTCCGGACTTCTGACGTATTCCACTTTGTACTCCACGAAAGATGGATTTCAACCGGACTTGGTTCCCTTTTCTTTCTTTTTTCCTCTGGTGATGAGTGAGGCTTGCCGTCTTTGGGAGGAATATATCCTTTGACTAATACTGCCGCTCGTGGAGCTTCTATTTTTGCCTCCGTAAGCATCATTCATCCGCCAACGATCCATTCAAGTAGACATCACGGAACAAGACATGACCAATGAAACGAACTAAAATTGCCTTCGCTACTGCGAGGAGACAGACGGCTGGCACGAAATGCGAGTTGCTGATTGTCGTAAACCTTCCATTTTGCCCCTGAATACACGTAGTTACGGAGACCGTCCGCAGAGCCCTTCGCATGTTGTTTCAGGTGAGGTACATTATGCATTCTGATGCTATTCGTATTTGATATCCTAAAGACGCCACTACTAGACGACAGCTTGAGAATTAGAATTCATGGAATAATCATCAGGTTCTTCGATGCGCAAAACCCAACTTAACCATTCACGACGGACCTGCCTGTTAATACCCTATCAACAGCCGCACATATCGCGAGATGCCAAAACCAGTCATAATTCGGTGTTCTGTCTCGCATAACACTTCAAGTAGACTTTATATACAGAAAGGCCAATGAAGTGTTCGCCAAAACAAAGTAGCCCCACAAATGTGACTGGCTCGTTCGTATATCATATGCCAAGTCGCATGGTACGAAGGAGATCCCAGGAGCGATGATATAGAGTGATGCGAGGTCAGCGTGATCAAGCTATGGGATTCTCGGGCTATCCGTATCCCCTAGCAACTAAGCAATGGTCCTGAGCCCTCGATTCGGGCAGCATCGTCCATCATCGCCGTCAACGTCAACGTATTCTGTTTCGTACGAGTGTTGAGAGACGAGATCGGTTTGTTCGAAGTGACTGGATAAAACGGCCATCCTGCCGTGAAGCAATGCAGACTACGCGTAGTTGGGAGCCGTCCCAGTCCAATGTAACTTTGCAACGAAACAGATCAAGAAACATTGGTTGCATCAGTTTCTAGTCGATCAGCACTATCAATATATACCTTACCTACGTCTCGATTGCACGGGGCGAAGGAACCCTAGTCTGAGCCATTACGAGCTCGAAGGATGATTTAAATGCTCTCCAGGTAGTTGTTGTGAAATCAGGAACTCCCTACAGCAATTCGGAGGTTGGCTTGTACCGTTTTGCCGTCACAAATTACTCCCAAGTCGCCCCCATCAACTACCACGGCATGTCATACATCAGCACCAGCGTCCACCGCCCTCTCGAGCAAGCCTATCAAATATCACACAACCATACTCAATATCGAATAACTTGAAGACAACAGAGATTCAAGATGATGGTCAAGCCTCTTGCCACGCTTGACTGCCGGACTCTGTGTTCTCTCATCCCACTATGCGAGGCAGCTTTTAACAGCCACCACATCCAATCTAGGGCAGGTGGACTGCATCCCGTCAGCTCTCCACATTCCGTTGTCGGCTGGAATCTGTTTGACGATGTTCTACACCCAATATATACTTCTCTTCCCTCTTCAGCACCCAGTCAATCGAGGCGCCCACATAGTCCTCAACTCCATCCTCCACCCTTCCACCAACTCTTCCCAACCCTCCCCTTCATCCTCCCCAAGATCCCGCCTTCCCAACTCCAAAACCTCAAACCTCAAACCTCAAACCTCAATCCACGCGACATGTGGTCCCCAATTCCCCTCCATCTTCCCCTCCAAATAACCTTCTCTTGGCTCTGTCCCAAACCGGCCTCAAGGCCAGACCTGCATGTCCCAATCCAGCGATACCAAAAGCCCAGAACCCAGCCGGCCTGTGCCCGCGCACCCATCTACACGGCACGCCGCCCCCACCGCATGAACGTCAGAACTCGGATTGCGGCTGTTGGACCACTCACAAGCGGCGGCGGCACGGCAGGGCGTTCATGCGATGCTGGGTCCGGGCTGGGGTCTTGCATCGGTCGAGGTGGTGGCCGGACGGGGAGGCGGGGAATCGTTGCCTGGGGACCCTTGTCCCGGGTGGCCTAGATTTATGCGCAGTCTTGGGAGTTTGGAGGTGCGTCATGTCCGAGTTCTTCGGGCTCGGATGATCTTCACGACGGAGGCAAATCGAAATGAAAACTGTTGGTGTTGTTTGACTATGACTATCATTGATTGTCGTGGCTTGCTCCGTCTATGTCTACGTGAGCAGTACGCTGTGGTATCTAATGTTACAAAGTCCTAATGAAGGAAGGTATCTCGAACGCGCTGTCTTGTGGAGGATCATAATCCACACGCGATGTAATCGCTGCCCCTTTCCTTGAGCCTCCCATTTTCTTGCGGAGGTCATACCCAACGCCTCTGTAATGCAGACAAAGGAAATCCGTGGTGATACATATTAGTTGGCCGTCTCCCCTCGAGATCAGCCGTGGACTTGCGGCGTCCAGCTCTTCAAAGGCTTCTTCAAACCCTGCGGCGGTTTGCCGGGTTGCCTATTTGATTCAAGCGAAGGCCGTTCAGCAGACCTCTGCCAACCCTCCTCCCGTGTGCCAGGCTGGCACCATCCTCATTCATACAAGTCATGTAGGAACCTCCAAAACCCCTTAACCGGGACAGGTAATTCGGGGTGATGCCCATTCCATTCATTGGCGACTGGTAAAATGGGTGGAGGTGCAGGCTCTTTGCCGGCCAGGAGATATTGCCAAGACACTAAGTTGCGGCGAAAATTGAGAGAATAGTAATTAAAAATAAACCCCAGTTGGATGGCGTGAAGGCTGCGTCTGAATCATTGCTGAGAAGCAAAGCATCCAATGGGTTGACCGGAGGTTTCGTAGTCTCAGCCGACGTGCTCTGTGGTGCTGCCGCGTTGGATGTAGTAGAAGTCACCAAGGTCGTGGGTGCTGGCGGCGGCGGTACTACAGGCGGTGGTGGTGATGATACTGGTGGCGGCACCGTGCTGGCCGGAGGAACAACGGGCGGTTGAGTTGGCGGTGGTGCAGGTACTGATGTAGTCGCCGGGGGTGGGATGACGGGAGGGGCGGTGGTAGCTGGCGGAGGCGGAGGCGCAACAACAGTCGATGATGGCGGCGGCACTATCACGGTCGAAGTCGGCCGGGCTGTCGGTGCTGCTGAAGTGGTTGTGACCTGGTTACTCGAGCAGAGCAGGCCGAGGAGATTTCCTGCTAGGGCCTGGCCAAGCACCGTATTGGCTTGAACTGAGACTGACTGGCAGACATCTTGAATGTTGGTTTGCATGAGCAACAGGCCACGCCTGCAAGACGCTGAGCAGGTGCCGGTACTCGAGAAGTCGTTCGCCGTGCAGCCTTGGATGGGGTTGTTGTAAGTCAAAAGACAGCCCAGAGGTATGGATAGTTGTGTAAGGAGTTGAAAGTTTGAGAGGGTCAGATCAGTTCCTCCGATGCTGATGATTGCTGCTGTCGAGGCGGACGCCAGGAACAGGAGCTGGACCAAGCGCTGCTGTGAGCGCTGATGCCTTGACGTAGTCATCTTGGCCGTGTGTTTCTGTCCGTCAACGAGCGTAAGTTGTAAGGGTCCTCAGGCGCAGTCGCCTTCGGTCGAAATTGAGCTGAGACCGTCTCTTGGATGTGGTTGTCGTCGAGATATCGTCGTCGATGTTTGTAAGAAGGTGGTTTTAGTCGCTGGGTCGATTGGCACCGACAAGCGGCCAGGAATATGGATTGAAGAGCAATTGACAGACCAGGATTCGGCTGGCTGGGAAGCGGTTGAGTTTTGGGCTGGAAATGACAGCACCGTGGCAGCTCAAGCGCGGCAAGGCAACCGAAAACACGAGGGCCGAAACGTGTTGCGTGTCAGAGGCCGCTGGGAATGACGGCACGATCGGCTGGCAAAGAAGAAGCACGGTCAATGCGGGACCGGGGAGCAGCCAAGAAACCAGGGTCTAGGACTTGCAGCAGCTGGGTGGAAAACGAGTGGGCAGAGGTCCAAAAAGGCTGAGAAGATGATGGAAGAGATGTGGTGCGGCCGGAGAGTTCATGCACTCTGCTTTGGGGGCGATCTCGTCAATGCTATGAGGTGTTGTCGGGATAATTGGGCTGGCGGTTGCTTCTCTGGCCGGCGCTGGTGAGACAGGGTTGTTGATGGGCCTCGTTACTGCCGCATGGGGCGATGATGGACAGGATAACCGGCAGTCTGAGGGAAAGGGAGACTTTACGGGCCGGACTTCTCGGCCAAAGGGTAGAAGAGAAGGGACGAAGAGGAGTTGGGACTGATGCTGGTGAAGGTGCCCGCCGATTGCGATGTTGCCGCCGAGGGTCAAGCAGTTGCGACGGACTCAATCGAAGAAGGGGCTTGTGTCGACGACTCAAGCTTGTAAGTCGAGTCAGGTGCCAACGACCTGGGGTAGATGAGCAAGGGAAGTGACAGCTGATCAGTCTCTCTTTCTTTCTTTTCCTGAGAGTGTTGACAGGCAATCCACTCGAGGGTCCCGTTCTTGCCAGACCCGACGGATGGCGTTTGTCCGAAAGTCAAGAGAGTTTCTCTGTCAGTCCAGGGTCGAGATGATTAAGGTCTCGACGATGCGATGTGCGGTGGCACCAACGGGCAGATGCGTTTTGTGTGGCGGGCGTCGGTCCGGAGGTGGGCTGAGAAGGGTGCAGAATGTACTCTCTCTGTGCCTATGTAAGGTACGCGGCGCAGAAGAGGAGACAGAGAGACAAAGGCAGGGAGAGTGCGATCAAACGCTGCT